ATGAAGGCAAACCTGAAAATCCTGGGACAGTTTTTTTCCATCGCCAAATGATGCCTTTAGTGCATCAGAAACCAATTGGATATCAACGCCTTCAGGAATGAATCCCAAAGAAAGAAAATCATTTGCCAAACCAAGCGAGTCACGATTAACAAAGTGCACCAGCTGAAAAAGAACAGAATTGCACAGCATTCTACCAAATTCTTCCTCAAAAACAGTGGTAAACCTCAAAATAGTCAAATGCATCATATTTAACAAAAGCTATCTTTAACCAGATGTTGAATTATATTTTCATACCACTCGAATCAGTCCAACACGGTAATGCCGAGGAATATCACCCATCATCCCAAAATCAAAATATGCAAGAGAGCCATTCTCAGTAGCAACAAGGTTTCCTGGATGTGGATCAGCATGAAAAAAACCCACCTCAAGCAATTGCCTCAAAGAGCAATATAATCCCTATGAGGTAGAAAGGAGATAATATTTATAAAATATGACATGTTTAATCTTATGTAAATAGTCTACTTCAAGAAATGGCTTATATACAAGCACGCAAAAATCCGAAATTTGATATTTAGAAAATGGACACAGCTGCATACCAAGGACAAAAGTGAAACATTTTATTTTTAAAGAAACAATCTTATATTAATAATAAAGGTAATATAAAAAGATTGGAAAGAGAAACAAGACGTAAATGAACAATTTCTAAACAGTACCTGATCAATGAGCTCCCTCCTATTCAGATAAGCCTTTTGCAAGCCAGTTTCATCAGTAAGCTTTATTCCATCAATCCATTCCATGGTAAGCACAGCCGATCTAGTAAAGTCCCAATATATTTTGGGGACTTTAACAAAGTTTGCTTTCTTATATTTGACAGTGTTCTTGACTGCAGACATCTTCTCACTGTCACCTGCTTATAATAATGAGTTGTTAACAAGAAAATCATACAAATGCTAGTCAGTTATCAGAAACCAATTGAAGATACCCAAAATTGAGAACTACCTAGAGGAAATATTTTTTAGTTAGAAATTGGATGTCTACTGGCTTCAATCCATGGAAGTAGTAGTATGCCTAGGACATTATAAGTGTACCTTAGCACTTACATGGTTGACATCCATAGAGAGAAGAAAAACGCTCGGCATTTTTCCCTTCTTGAATGTAATTGATTTCATCAAACATGTGTCTGACCTGTTCATTAAAGGAAAGCCCTGAATGTGAACAAGAAGCAAGGCAGTCGACAGTCTCATCAATAAATAAGAAAAGATACGGGAGGAAGACAAGGGAAGGATGTTTCCAATCTTTGAGAGGTCATGCAAGAAGCCCAGGGAATAGTTAACCTTGGGGATTTCAGTGTAAAAAAAATGCAGTCAGGAAGCTCTAAAATCTTAACATCCTGATTAATAATTTCAGACATGATTCAAGAGATATCAAACTAACACCACCTTAAATTAAAAATATATGATTAATGACTTTCAGCATAATTTTCAGAGATATTCACAATTAAAGTGACCATAAAATGGGGAAAACCAATCCATCTAAATGGTACTAATAGAATAATTTATGGAGAAAACCATAAATTGAAAAGAAAATCAATTTTAAAAAGTATGCAAAGGCTCACCATTTCATTAACAGCTACTAATAAATCTTTTCGGGCCTTGGCAAATCGTTTTAGTTGGCCACCAATCATCTGGAACAACAAGGCATCAAGAGTCAATGAAAGAGACATTCCAGGCCTTTGTACTTTGACAGCTACAAGCTCTCCAGAATGCAGGTGAGCTGCAAGACTTGAAGCAGAAAAAATGGGTATTTAACTTTAGCTTACATTGAAACATTCAGATCCATATCTGAACACCCATTTAGCAGATGAGTATGAAGAGATGGATTGATAGAATTTCCAATGAAAAAGCAAAATTTTCATTCAGGAAGGTGAATGCCACTAACCCTTATAGACCTGCCCTAAGGATGCAGCTGCAACAGGCTCTGGGCTGATATCAGCAAAAATTTGTGAAACAGGACGACCCAACTGGTTCTCAATAGATTTGATTGCTTGGCGAGTAGGAAATGGAGGTATGTTATCCTTGAGAAAAGAAAGCTCAAACTATCAGAATGGTTTGGAATAAGGTAGCAGGGTAGAAAATCGTGTGAGAAGATTATTTATAATGCATGCAGTATCTGACAGGTCACATCTAATMGAGAACTAAGAAAACCTTGGCATACCTGTAACCTTGCAAGTTCTTGACAATACACTGTTGGCAATATATCTGGCCTCGTGCTCAAGGCCTGCCCAAGCTGCAATTCAAGCACAATTACATTAATTTTGTCCATCTCTTTTCAGTTTTCACCATCGACCAACTTGAAGTTTTAATATTATCAATACAAGCAATAGATAAACACCGGTGGGGTAATTCAAACATAATTACATTAATTTTGTCCATCTCTTTTCACCATTAACCAACTTGAAGTTATAATATTTACCAATACAAGAAACAGATAAACATTGGTGAGACCTTTTGCACCTCATTTCACATAGGTCATGATGTTTAAAAGCATATTAAAGAAAATGCACAGTTCCAAAAGTTGGAGGTTGGACAGACATTTCAAATTAATTAGAAAGAAAATGTCTTGCCTTGACATAGAAAGGCCCCAGTCTGATTAGAGTTTCTCGAAACTGCAGCAAAACAAAAAAAAAACCTTATTAAGTTCAACTATGGACATCATACTCTGTATAATAGAAGATCTCCTATAATACTTCCTTTCTTTAAGATAATTAAACTAAAAGCAAATGGGGCATAACACACCCACATTTTTTAAAACACAAACGATAAAAAAGGGAATGGGATAGACATATATTTAGACAGTTGAGCTTCATTGACCACATTTTATCTATTATACTAAAAGGCTATTCACAGATGAAAACTTTTGAAAAAATGTGTATGATAATACCTTAATAGCACGTTTTTTTAAGTCATTAACAAAGAACCGCCATATGGTTAGCTTCAATACATGGAATGAAATAATTGCTGCTCTATATAGCGCCAAAGCTGGACCAAAGTGATAGATAGAGGAAAGTCTTTTGGATCCGTAAGTTCCAACTGCATGCCCAAATTCACTTTCCAGCAATTGCTTCCTCAACTTTGCATACTCTGCAGATGGCCTTTCACCATGTACGCTTGAATAGCTGGTAGAAAATCTGCACCACGACCACATATCTAGGTAAAGCGCTATAGCAAACAAAAAACTATTAAGCAAAAACRAAACCGGACAAAAAAATTGGTAGACCCCCTATTATGAAAAATGTATAGTCGTAGGAAGGGGAAGGCAGCACAGGAGTAGCTTTGCCGAATTTTGTTGTTATTAGAGTAGAGGGACCATCTGTGGGACCCAAAAAATAATAGTTAGTTTTGGGTAAGGTTGATATAGAGGAAAAGATTGGATCTGGGGGTATTCTTGTTTGGAGTAATTTCTTGTACTTGCTCTATGAGTGAGGTAAGGGGAGGCAGGGAGCTCCTGAAACTCCCTTGGCTATTACCCTGATGCATAAGTAGACTGGTTCCTATCAAAAAATTACAACAATCCCTACTCAAATATGGGCATCCACTCACAACTTTTGGTGAAACAAGTTTGACAGGAGACAAACATCTTGTCTCCTCAGAACTTGAGTATACTGAAAGTATCCCAATGATATGCATTTTCCAAAATCATTGTCATGGCGTATATCTGCAAAAGTAACACAGTTTGTAAATTGTAATTGAAGATTGAAATAGTTACATCCTAATATACATTGTATGTGAAATTGAAACGGTGGCCATTCCCCATAGCGGACCAGCATGGTTTCATTAAACAGCTAAATGAAATTCCTTCCAACAATTATTTGCACTTGGAAGCATATTGGAATGTAGAACAGTTCTTCACAAATCAAAGTTTTGCAAATGAGATCTACCAAGTGGATAACAAATTCGACATCCTATTTCTTTCACTCAAAGGCTTGATATATTGATTCAATCCAAAATAGAAAACAGTCGGATGGTTACACAGAGGGGCTCTCCAAAATAGAAAATGATAGGATGGTTACACGGAGAAGCTCAGTTAGATAAAAGCTCAGTAAACAAAACATCTTCTCAGACTTAAATCCAAGTCCATAGCATGATTCCAACAGAGCAGCTAATCACATAGATATTTGAAAGGACAAATATATCAAGGCATTTGATTCGCGATTTTGCAACCAATAGCATATAGTAAGCTAAGGATTCAAGAACAAACAAACTCAGCGACACATTTGAACCAAAAATATCTCAATTCCATGTATTAAATGTCGTTCCAAACGATCCTGTTTATGGAATCAGAGGTTCTGTGAATCAGGCAGCAGATACCCAGAGGACATTGATTCCAATCTGCTTGCAAATTTATTTAATGAACGAATGTAAACATGGTCGATTTCAGATCCCAGGCAATATAGTTCACGATTAGATAAGCTCGTCGGAATTTGTCCTCAAATTAATTATTACAAAAAAACTCAATTAAGAATAGCAGAACAACAGAAGTCGACAAAAGCTAGCTTAACCTATGTTGTTCATTACCAGATACAATTTGAAGAGTCGACAAATTACTCGCACAGATCAAATTAAAGTAAAAAATAACAACGGAGATACAATCAAATCAAGAAAAATGTAAAACACCGAAACAAGAATATCATAACGCGTTTAACATGAGATGGTTAAGAAAGCCAAAAAAGAACATCCTAACGTCGTTGATATCAAATTACGTTCCTCGGTGGAACTTCGGAGTGATTTCTCCCTCCACACATCTCATTAAAATCACCAGGCAGACATCGCAGCAACAAAAAGAATCAGAAAAATGCAAGTAATATCAGTGAAGAGAAACAATAAAGGTACCTCGGCAGGCCGCAGYGAGCAGGCGGTGACGGTTGAGGCGCGCAACGGCATTCCTCATCGGCTGATGACTAGAAAGAACAAGAAATACAACAAGAGACTGGAGAATCCATTAGAGATGCGTTTGCTCCACCAATTGCTCGGAAGAAGTGAGGCAACGAAGCTGTTTCTGCGGAGGCCTGCGTAGAGTGGGCGACGGAAGTGAAGAGGGCAGAGTAGTTTGCCTGAGGAAACGAGAAATTGACACGTCTGGGGTCTACTTGGCGCCTCCAGCATATACCTGCAGCTTTGAAGAAATTGTAGTGCAACTCGTTTTCTCATTCTTACCCTTTGATTTATGGAAAACAATGGTAAAAAGGATTCAAGTATTTTCTTTAATCTATTATTTTGGTCTTGAGATTTTAATTTTTTTTTTTTTACCACATATGGTGGCGTAGATTTGAATGCAGGACCTACGACTAATATTTTAAAGCCAGTTAAAAAATGGATTAATACTATTAGTGCGACTTTCAAACTCACTCTMTTTATACCATTGAACCAAAAGTGAGGGTACTTAATTACAAAATATAAACCAAGTYGAAACTTAATCTTTATTTTCTAGGGCATTGCATCCAAAATAATAAGGTAATAAATATCAAATTTACAAGTTACAACCCATAAATAATGTCTTAAATTCATAATTAAATGGATAAAATATCTATTAACGATCGGTGCTGCAACTTAGGGATCACCAGATAGCTCTTTTGCTCTATAGGGATCGGGGATGAATTATATCTCTGATTCCTTTGCAAAAAAAATATATATCTCTCTAATTTGGAAGGTTGAAAAGAAAAAATGCTTAAATAGTTTGAGTCGTTGTTTATTTTTTTAATTAGCCAATTAAAATCACCTTTCAAACTTTTTAATAATCAAAATAATTTGAAATTAAAAATTCTTATCCCTGACCAAAATAGGGCTTTAAGTTCGAATCCAAGTGTTGTAGTTTTGTTAGATTATATTAAAAACCATGTTTATTCTAAAMTTGACTCAAAACACTTATTTTTAAAACACATCAAAGTCTGTTGAAAAAAGAATCTCAAACTCATACATAGTCTTAAAATTAAAATTTTGATTTCATCAATAATGTGAAATAAAAGAAAAATTATTTTTTTATAGTACAACAACATCACGTAGAAGTCGGGATTCAAGTGTATGACTTTTTAGTTGAATATGTCTTGATGCATTAATCAATTCAACCCAACTAAAGTTTAAATATATGGTTAAGTATACTTAAATTGGACTAAAACGAGCATAAGTCAGCCATAATTGATATATGTCTCTAATCAAAAGATTATGGGTTCGRATCCTCATTACTTAAGTTATAAAATTGCTTAAAATTAAATTAATAAACCATCCCTAATCCAACCAATAATTTTATAATTCACATCACACACACAGCAGTCTAATTTCAATTAATAAATTTGAAGTTAGAAAGTTAAAATCACTTCGTTGACTAATTAGAGTAAAAAATAAAAAACAAATTCCCGTCGATATATTTAATTTAATATTCCCCCATTGTTAAATATGCTTTCTTCCATGGCGTGATCAGAGAAGAAACAACACCACCCCCAAAATTTCCAATCACCGTCTGCGACGCTAGTTGGACTGAGCAGGGCAGTAAAATTTGAAAAACCCTCGATTCAGGGTTTATTTTGCTCATTCTCCAATCTCTTCATCGATCTCTCGTAGGCGAAAATGGCGAAAGAGCAACAGTCAGCCCCAGGTCCCTGGATCCCTGATGCAATACCTTTCATCCTTGTTCTCATCATAGCAGCTCATGTCTTCGCTYTGGTACTCTCCAACTTCAATTTTTTTTTTTTTTTGCAATGTATTCAAACTCAACTCTTACGTTTTCTCACTTCCGCGCAATTTATGCAGGTATACTGGATTTATAGGCTAGCAACCCAAAAACAACCTCCGAGGAGGAAGGCGCACTGAGTTACTGTATGATTCATTCCCYAAAGAAACTCTAGTCAAACCCTAATTCGTTAATTGTTATGTGACACTGATGTTAATTAGGCGGTCGAAAGGAGCCATTTACCAATGTTTCAGTCGCTGTAAGTATCGTACTTTGGTACTGTAAGAATGTAGCAAATTTTCTTGCATTTAAATTTGTATTTGTATGGATTTTCAATTCATGAAACTATTAGAGGAGCCACATATTTGTGTCTTGTTTGGTGTTGGTTATCTTGGAAAGCTGGGTTCTATACTGCTTAGTAATTTTATAAACAAACTAGGCTTTCGTAGGGCCTTTCGAAACTCATTTGGTGAATTTATGTCTTTAGTTTTCATTTGAGACCATGTCATCATTGTAAGATCGGCTGAAGAAATGATTGAAAATATTTTATTCTGAAATTGATTATTGAGGAGTTGATTTTAGGGGAACATAATAAAGTACAACGTTTTCTATTGAATTTTTTAAATAAAAAGAAAAAAATAGGAACAAATATCCTTGCTCTCTGTGGATTTCCCATGAAAGGTAAYCCGTTATGCTTCTTGTTCCACAAAGAGCGGATTGCTGCATTCTTGTGGACTGATAGCACCACAAACTTTTTTCCCACCGAGTTAGTGAGTAGTAACAAAATTTCGTAACTAGTCAAATTTTGCTGATGTAAAGAACAATTTTTTATTTTTGGACGATCTGCAAAACTTATTTAATTTAACACTTTTTCCTTGGATTTTCTGCACATCTGGGTTTTATATAGTCAAAAGAGTTCTAGATGTGAATTTGACGTTAAAAGATCTATATGGTGTTGAAAAAGGTTTTCGGTTATGCTGGATCAAGATCACCTACGTTGTAAATCAAACAAGCTGTTTTACAATATTGTTGATTTGAAAAGATTAGTTCAAGTAGCAGTGTCCTAAATGAATGAAATTCTATTTTCAATGAAAAATCTAGAAAGAAGAAAGTGATTATTCTAGATACTCTAGAAAGAGGTAGGTTTTGAGCTATTWAGTATTAAATTTAAATAGAAAGTTCTTATGCCTTGGAGGTAGATTATTTGAGATACATAAGGCCTGTAAAAGTACTGAAGAATAATTTTGGAGAGGTCCGGAATCAACATCAATTGAGGCTTGATGGGATCATAATTTGAATATCATTTATTATACTTCTATACTTCCTTGAGATCGATGTATTTTAAATTTTTACATATGTATTTTCCCAATGTAAAAATGTTAACATTTGATATATATATATATCTGTTAAGTGAATACTAGAGTTGACTTTATGCTCACTAGGAGACTTGCTATGCCTATATCTCATCATCTATATCTTTCATGAAATATTGAGTCCAAATTATTGTTTAGATGCAATATTGAATGACAGTCGGGCTGGGGTAGGGCATTTGTACCTAACAGTCAGCCACAGTGTGTTTCTTCAAATATGTGCTCATCTTGGTTGTCATGATCATGATCATTTTGTTGCCTTCTTTTCGCTTTTGCACCTTATAGTGAATAAAGGCAATCTTCAGGTTTTAGTTTAGCTGAAATGTCCTTTTCCCACTCTTGAAAATGAGTGGGSTATCAAAGAGAAATTGAGTGCGGCATCAAATTAGCATATCAAATCAAAACATATTCATGCCTCCTACCTTGTAGTATTGACAGTAAATCTTCTTCTTTGTTGTTATTTTATCATCAAATAGATTTTTATATATCCAACAATGCATTCCATAACATGTTCGTCAAAAATATGTATTACACTCTATCTTAATTTGTATTCCATCCTCTTGAATCTTATCAATAAAACTATCAATAAAACTATATTTTTCTGTTACTAAAAGATAAATTACCCCTTCAGTTAGTTGATGACTTTTGCTCTCTTATTTTCTTAAATGAGAAACTTCTCACTTTCAAATGCACCATTTACCTTGAAAACACTGGCAAGTAGTGGTGCCGTTCTCTTGATGGATGGATTACTTACGCGTACTTTCTCCATTATGTATAAAGCTCATACGTAAGGTAACTGCTAGAAATTTTGTGCTTATTCGTCACTTTTTCTTTGTATAAGTACCAGGCACCAACACAGCACTATGTGGTAAGAAATTGGATTTATAGAAAGATGAGCGTGATTGTAATAGTGGGTTCTTCTTTACAGAGTGATTCTAGCTGTCTTTTGGAAGCAATATGTATATTTCACTAGCCCTCTTGCATTTTCATGTCATACTTGTGTTTTTCCAGCTAAGGATGATCCAGGATTTCAGAGATGATGACATAAATAGATGCTTTCTTCATATTACAGACTTTCTTCATGTTAGTTTTGTTTGGAGGCAATTTCGGGTTCGGTTCCTACTTACCTTATCAATGGAAGAGCATCGACACGAAGAAAGTCTGTAATACGGTAAAAGCCAAAAAGGCTTTTGTTTTTCAATGGTTAATTTCTTATGGATTGCCTTTTGAAAAATGGAAGAGCATCGACAGATTAATATGGTAAAATTTTCCTTATCTATCTATAGCCATCTGAAATCTAGAGTGCTTCAGAAGAAGTCCTGAAGTATGAAGCTGTTTTTCTTTAGAAAATGAAGTTTTCTCGTTCTCCTTTTTTTCCTTCTTTGTAGATGCATCCTTAATATATAAAGTTTCAAGATTTGTCTATATTAGTTCCATCACATATTCGCATAAATGTGGTAAAAATATCATAAGATGGATGTGATTGGGAGGAGTCGATTAATGGGTGCATCATCTTATCGAATGAGACAGATGTAAAACCATAGAGTAGCCATTGTTTATGATATTAGCAAGTRTTTAGAATGAGACATATATCTTCGATCAATAGATCAAATTTGTAAAGATTAGGTTGGATATTTGTTAAATTTGCAAGGATAAACAATATTTTTTTACTCACCGAGTCATTTGGCTAACTAAGGGATATTTGGTCTACAAATTAGGTCTTATTAAGTGGTCATGAATTTGAATTTCTATCTCACTTGTTGTGYTAAAAAGAAAAAAGAAAAAGAAAAACGAATAAACTTTATAACSCGGTTTGGGAATGAATAATTAACACGTAAACAAATTGGACATTTTTTCATCATCTTTCTTCTGACGCCTTTCCAGTAGAACGACAAACTCAATTCCGCAACCTATTCTAGTACTGTTGGGACCATTTCTTTTGTAAATTTCATTTTAAATATATTACGTTTACATTTTGTTTTAGTTTATCAACTTTTTAAAGAAACATAACTATTTGCTCATTAAATTTTTTAATGTCTACTTTAGTTCTCAATTAAAAAAAAGAAGAAGAAGAAGAATTGTTTCGATCATTGTTATTATTTTTTCATCTCATATCTACATCAATTCTTACCTTAACTAACACACATTGGAAGTCACGTTGCTAAATTGCTAAAAAGAAAGAAAAAAAAAGAAGAAGAAGAATGCTAAATTGCTAAAAAGAAAAGAARAAGAAGAAGAAGAAGAAAGTTCATAAACTAAAAAAGATCATGTTTAAAATAAAATAAAATAAATACAAAAATTGTAAGGATTAAAATAGACAATTTAAAAGTTTAGGGAATAAAGTTCAATATTTAAAGTTTAGGGACCAAAGTAACGTCTAAACCTTTTTTTGTTGAAATATTATTTTAGTCATTATACTTTCAGTTTATGTTTATTTTGGTTCCCATAAGTTCCTATATTTTTAACTTTAGTTAATTTTAGTTTTTGTATTTTTCAAAAGCTCGTATTGGTCCCTATACTTTAAAAAAGTGACGATTTGGTCCTTATTTGTAAAATTTTAATATAAATTCTACACAAAATGAAAATCTTTTAATAAAAAGTCACGGTTACATTTCAAAAAATATGTTGAGTGTAGTATTGTATTGAAATTGTGATAGASAAAATGAGATTAAAAATAAAATTAAATGGACGAAATAACCATTTTTTTCAAGTGTAGCACTTTTTTARTATACCAAATCCAAAGTTAAAATTACATTCACTGAAATGAACCAAAACAAAAAAAAATATGAGATTAAAATAGTTATTTGAAATTTTCAATGATATTCCAACTTTTTCGGTATCTTTTTGACGCACCAAATATTTCAAAGGTTAATTTCAGTGTCATAATCATGAAAGCGAAACATGAATGTCTTTCTTGAAAATTCTTTTGACTATTTAAAGCTTTTTTCTTTTTTTTTTAACAATATTTAAAGCTTGTTTCTGCTGAATATGTTTTATAAAATAATAAGAAACTACAAATATGACAAATATTTTAGCTGATTACTAGATCAGAAAGTTTGCATTTTCAAATAAGTTCTCATGAGCTGATCAAGGAAAACTTAGTCATTGTGTGCCATTAGATAATTATTTTACACATTAATGCTTTCTGAAAAAGACTTTCTACACTACGAGTCAATGTCCCTTATTCAATATTRAAAATTGTTTTTCAAAACAACCCTAACCAAAATTAATATTTGGTATGATATTTTGAAAAATACAAAAATGTCCTTTTAACATCACCCAACTTTCCCGGGAATGTTCTCATAGGTTTGAAATAGTAAGATTGAGTAGATGCGTATCATTCGAATGGAGGAGAGGTACATGAATAAATTGACACCATATTGATCCAATTGCGAGGATCCTGAAATCATGCAACCATGATTAATACACGATTAAAAGAATTTATAGTAATTATTTATACCAATAAGATGCACTTTTTGTTTTGTTGTAATTCTATCAAACTCTAAAATTAAGCACGTTTGACTTTAAACTTTATTGTTTTGTAGGGACAGTCTTAATGACAGACCTAAAAATCGTAAGGGAATACACCGAAACTACTATGTGTGAAATTGGATTATGAATCTTGGACCTAAAGCATTATAAGATAAATAAATTTTAGAAATTTGAGTTTATCTAATCCGTCTATTTGTGAATAGTTGAAGTTAATACATTTTCTAAAAAATATAGTTTAGAAGTATACATATTAGCAAACTCAAATATTTGCTCGACAAAGCTAAAAAAATCCAATTTACAAGTCAAACTTTTCCCCCATAAGCTTTAAAATACATGTGTTTTTGTGATGAAAAAAAAAATACATGTGTTTTGCTAATCTCAATGTTTGACTATAATAAATGAATTGATTAAATTTTTAAAAACCAACCAGACCATTTCCTTCCCACCTAATGACAATCACATGAAATTATCATATTTTTTCCCCAACCTCTGTCAACATGCCTAAAAAACCAATATAAAATTACTTTTTTCCATAAATAACCCTGCTCTGTTTTCCAGACAGCCTTTTAATTGCATCATGCCAAATATGTTATCATACCTGCTGCCCCACCATCAGTGGGTGCACATGCTGCCACGTGGCATCCTCTTAACCCTTTGATCCTCACCCTCATCTGATTCATTATTATTATTATTATATTATTCAAAGAAGGCAGAGTTTCATTTTTTGCGTCATTAATGCCTGTTTCTGGTCCTGCCCACTGTCCTTCTGACTCTTTTCTTATTGCAAATTTGGTAAATATGAYTTTTTTAATCGATATTGTTTATTTTTTATTATTTATTTAAATAGTTTTAAATGTTTCGATTTAAATTTCTATAATTTAGCAAAAAATATAAAGAACTTGGTAAAATTTTAGAGTACGTGGAAGATGGAAAATTATTCAACATGGCCCCCATATTGTAATTGTCCTATTCTCTAAAATCCATGGATGCATGGAAGCACAATCATTTAYTGTGRAAGATAATTTACGGACAATTTGTGAGGTTAACCATTCCTTAAGGATGRAATTGAAATAAAATCGAAGTAAATTTTCTTAGGTGAAACAAACTAAACATATTTTTAGATAAAGAAGACTAAAAGAGAAATAGATGAATAAAATGAGGGTGGTTAGGAAAGTCCCGAAAATTATATGAGAAATAGGAACGTCAGAATGAATCGGGCTTRTAAATAAGATCATGAGGCTAAAAGAAGAAAAAAATAGAATAAATAAATTTCACCTTCCATCAGACGACATAAACATCATTTTCATCGAGCTAAATTGAAACCTTTGAAATTAYAGAGGCGGATTTGAAATTATGCCCAMRTTATAATTACCAAATTTTTAATTCATATCAGGTAATATTTGATACCTATTTTTTAATTTACTTAAAAAATAAATAATTATAATTGAGCATTTTCCGTCTCTCACGTGKCTCTATCAGCAATGTCAATTTCGAGGCCGTCTGATCGTCAAAAATCATCGGCCCATATTCCGAATCTACCCCCAACAATTTGAGGAATTTGCATCCAATGCCATCCATGGCATCTGCCTTTCAATTTCCGTAAGGAAAAAGAACGGTGGGTGATATTCCAACGCATGGTCTTGATTAAGTGGGCCCCATCCAACGCATAAAGTGGACCATTATTGTCCTATCATGATTCTTCCCTCCATAATTTATTTCTTTAATCCCATTGGTTTGATTCTCGGAGACATTTTATTAAAACATTTAATTTAATTAATGACCAAAAGTAGAGATRGGGACAAGGACGAACCAATGGAACCATCATTATTTCTTCTATTAATTCATTTAAGGAAAAACATGCCGCTATTCTAGAAATTATGTCAATTCAAATTGATGACAAAAAACGTGGAGAGAGAGAGAGAGAGAGACATTTTATTAAATTTTTAAGTCGTGCAAATAAAATGGTAAGAATATGTATTTTTGGTCACTCAATTTGGTAAATAGTTTACATTGATACCTTATTTTCGGAATTTGATTCCCTTTCTCTTTGAGATCTTAGAAATATGTTAAAATTATAGTATTATTGGATTTGATAGTCTAATTATCTCTAGAAAAAAAGGAAAAAAAAATAGAGAGGATTTGATAGTATAGGAAATTGTGTTCATTCCTAATCCTACCATTGGAGTTTATTTAAGGAAATAAAAAAAATGATAAGACACTAATCTTTTAATTTATTTGTTATATTGGTATTAATGAGACAATACTCTTCTTCATCCTCATCATCATTATTATTATTTGCTATGACATATGTTATAGGCAAATCAAATGAGGCTCAACGAAACGACAAGAGGTTTAAATTGGACCAAAGGAAAAGAATGTCCAAATATACAAATCAAATGAGACGAAGTCGAGTGGCTCAATCGACTAGAGCCAACCCGGGCTCGACGCCAACCAGTTCTCGGTCGACGGTCGAGAACTCCGGTAGGGCCTCTCTGATTGTTCTACGCAACCCAACCCARACCTATCCCGTCTTGGTAAAKCCCCAAACGGACCAACAGTTCTATGATTCGATCGGTTGCCCGCTACATAGGCCCAAAATGCATGATTTCCTAGAGGTATGAGGATTAGACCTCTATAAATATGAGGGTAAACTAAACCCTAGAGGTATGCAAAAAATAGTCATACTCTCATACTCAACTACACTCGATACAAATTTAAGTAAGGGAGTGTATGGCTAGCACCACATTGGTGTTCAGTGCTATTGGTTTTTTAGGATCTACACTTGTTCCCGTTTTTTCATTTGGTGTGAATTTCACATAATTGAATAAGCCTAAAWTCGACATCGACAACTTAAGAGATTATTTTAAAATAGCTTTGAACTAAGTGTTGCCTTCACTTAAATATAAGAGCGATGTACAGTGTATGTATGTTGAGTATTGTTTGATCTTAAATAGAGTGTTTGCACTAGTAAGACATATTTCTTTTCATATAATACAAAACAATTACATTAACTTTAACATAATTTAATTATTATGAAACTAATTATTTGTCAAATACATGGGCATAGCGCGGTAAATGACATCTACTATATTATGGTCAGRAAAAAGTAATAATTTATCCAATTTGACTTCCTTTTATGGGCTAAGAAATTAGAATTGCACTTATCCAAAGAATTSGAATTGCCTTAAATTTAGGTTGCCCTTGGGAATTTAAATTCGTGAATCCAAACGGAAAAGATATCCTATTGATCTGAAGTTTTATYCTCTRTAAATAAAGGGTAAAGACAAAAGTGGTACAAATTTATGCATCAAAATACTCATTTCCTTGAGGCTAAAGATTCAAATTCACACCGTTACCTGTTAATATATATATACTCTTGTAATATGTATTATTAAAACAAATAGAAAATAGCTTGTATAGACTAACAATCCTTTCAAAGTGTTAATGATTTAAAAAATATTAATAAATAAATTGATTTGTTTTTTATTTTGAGTACATAACAAATTGATTTTTATACACAAACGTGCACAATAAATGTACGTGTGCGCATGGGCAGAGAAATATAGACAGCGTGACTTTTTTTTCTTTTTTTTTTTCAAATTTAATTAAAATAAAACGATCTTGATTAATAAAGATATTATTTATTAAATTTCCTTGATCTCTGATAGGTCGGCAAATAAAATAYTAAACACGCGAATAAAAAAAGTGGAAAAATAAATGAAAGAGCTATGGCCGCCAAAGGGCAGTCACGTAATTAAGTTAAAAAATGAGGGGTATATTTGTATATTTATTTGCCTTTTTCCGTAAATGACTTCTCACTTCCGCTCCCCACTCCCAGAGATAAAGGAGAAGAAAGAGTTTGTTTAGACCTCAGAGAAAAAGAGAGAAAAAGAGAGAGAAAGAGAGAGCTCGAAGCCATGTGCCCCACGAAGCAGAAGCAGAAGCAGAAGCAAAACCACCGGAGCTTAGTCGGAGAACCGGCCGGAAGATGCTCCGAACACGGCGAGTCCACGACGACGGCGGATTGGATTTCCGAGTCAATCAACGGCGGATCCTTGCGCCTCGTCGACCTACTCACCGGGATAAACGGCTGGGCCTCGCCGCCCGGAGATCTCTTCTATCTCCGTTCTAAAACCTACTTGACGAAACGGCAGAAAGCTCCGTCCGGCGATTATCTGCTTTCTCCCGTCGGCGTCGACTGGCTCAAATCCAGTACCAAACTCGACAACGTCCTCGCGCGTCCTGACAATCGCGTCGCCCTGGCGCTGAGGAGAGCTCAAGCCCTAGGCAAGTCGTTGAAGAGCTTTATTATTGCCGTTAACATTCAGGTGCCTGGGAAGGATCAGTACAGTGCCGTATTCTACTTCGCTACAGAAGATCTGATTCCATCCGGCTCGCTTCTTCACCGATTCGTCAATGGTGATGACTCTTTCAGAAATCAGCGGTTGAAATTGGTGAATCGGATCGTGAAAGGGCCGTGGATCGTCAAGAAAGCGGTAGGCAATTACAGCGCGTGTTTGTTAGGGAAGGCATTGACGTGCAATTACCACAGAGGACCTAACTATTTGGAGATTGACGTAGATATGGCGAGCTCGACGTTAGCCAGTGCGATTTTGCACCTCGCGCTTGGATACGTCACCAACGTAACAGTAGATATGGGGTTTCTGGCCGAGGGGCAGACCGAGGAGGAGTTGCCGGAGAGGCTATTCGGCGCCGTCCGGATATGCCAGATGGAGATGTCGTCGGCGACCGTCGTGGACGCGCCGACATTGGCGCGTGGATTATCATGTGCGAAGGTGAATCACCACAAACCCGGCGACGACGACGACGACGATAACTAATTCGATTACCGGTAAGATCTCCGAGTCTTTTTCTTTATCCTGCCTTTTGTGAAAATTCCGTAGATGGAAATATAGAAGAGATTCGCCGATTCGATTCGTGGTTGTAGATAATAATTTGCTGACAGATAAGAAAATTCTCTACATCTCCCAACTGAAATYCCCTTGAAATTGAATTGGAATTTATTTTCTTAAAGATCAAACGGCAGAGATTTTGGTCTACAATAGACGAGAAGCTGTTAGACTATAATCTTGTGAGATTGGCGGTGGAATCACTTTTCAATAGATGTCGAAATATGAATATTTYGCTCGATTAATTGGTAGCCATCTGTACGATTACGAATTACCCTTTAACGAAGAAACTAGAAGCCGTCAATGGAGGTGGGGACGGCGACGGCGACGGCGGCGGGATTACGTCGATTTGCTGTTTCTGGAATGGGTTGTTGATCTATTCTGAAACTTTGAGTATGGTGTGGGCCTGCCAATGATGTGGCCCACTATAAATATAAAGAAATTTAACAATTTCTTCTTGGAAAAATTTAAGTCCGTTTAATTTCATCCAAATTTGCTTATAAACTCAAATTTATGAAATTCAATTCTTATGCTATCTTGTATAAACCATAAACTTGTTAAGCAAGCATCTTAGKTAATACGATCCTTTCTCATTGTAATTTCGACTTTAATTCATTTAGTCTTTGTATTTTTAAAATATCTATTTTGAGCTTTGAATTCTCTACTTTTAAAATATCTATTTTGGGTTTTTAACTCTCTATTTTTAAAAAGTGAAAATTTTGGTATCTATTTCTATTTTACAAATTTTGAACACAAATTTTATAGGAAATGAAAATTTGCAAATAAAAATTTATGTCTTAAAGTGGAGTTTCTGAAATTKTTATAGAATATCTAATATATATATYTTTTTCATGCTGATGGGTTTTTTATATGATGTCTAAATTTAATAAGATAATGATTGTTGGGGGAAAAATGACAGTTTAGATTTAGGGGTTTGGTTTGGTTTGTGAGTGCCCTTTAAATGAAAAGTTTGTTTCAGAGTTGGTGTGCTGTCGAGTGTCCTTTCAGAACAGAAAGACAAGAAGTTATGGCAATTCCAAAGAGAAGCGAAGCATCGTAAAAGTTCAAACGTTAAACACGATAAACTCTTCCCTTCGTCTTCAAACTAAAAGTAAAATAAATTAGATTTAAATATGATTTTAGGTAAGTACTCTCAAAATATTTATTTTAATTTATAAATCATTTTAGTTTTTATAATTTTAAAATATCAAGTTTTTATTTACTTTTGAAAAGTGATTATTTTAGTTCTTATTTGCAAAATTTTAACATAATTTATATATAACAGAAATTTGTCAATATAAATTTATGGATACATTTCAAAAAATTTGGTAAGTGAAGTTTGTGGTGTAAGAATTTTAATTGAAATAAATGAGATAACAATAAACARATCAAAATGATCACGGTTTTAAATTACATAGACCAAAAACAAATGTTTCAAAAATGCAGAAACTAAAATGAATAAAAGTTGAAAGTATATGAATCAAAATTGACATTTTTAAATGACTTAAATGAACCAAAATCAAAAGTAAAGAAATCAAAAGAATATTTAAATCGATAAATTAATACACTAAAATGTCTATTTGTCGTTCTTTTATTTTTCAAAAGTTTACATTTCATTCTCTAGGCATCAATATTAATGTCTTAAAATGCGAAAATTAACAGACAAAATGATGATTTAAGGTGGAAATACACTTTAATATTTGTTAATGAAACTTTATGTTACCTACCTATTAAAAAAAAACCTTACCCATTTCATAAAAAAAGTTCCATACCTAAGGATGAAATTAGAACTTTTAAAATAATGATGATTAAATTGGAAAAAAAATCAGACACTACTAGGAACTAAATTATATATTTAACCTATCATATTATGTTGTTTYAAGTAGGGGTGTTTAGATAATTGAATGATTCCAAGAAATCAATCGACCAACCCAATAGTTGGAATTGGATAAGCTCATATTCAATTGAATTAGTTCAAAGAAATTAAAAGTTTGGTTGATTCATSAATTCTTTTTAAATTAGTTTGAGTGGGATCACATCCACTCAAATTTATTTACAATAAAATTGGCTGTGACCTCATAATTTGGACCAACCTGACTTTAAATATTTCATCAAAAGGAATATTACATTTTTAAAACAATCTATATGCTTAATTTGATACAATAATCTTGAAACATCGAAAAACTTGTTCTAATCAAGATGTTTCATTTTGGTAGAAGTACAAGTTACATCAGAAANAAAAAAGAAACCAAAGGTTTGAGCAATACATATTGGTTTTTTTTCTTAACAAAAGCAATACATATTGGTCGGTAACATAGTAGAGACTCATAACATTTAAAACTAAAAAACAATCGGTTAAATTAACGACTCGACTTTTTGGACTTAGACTTACGTAGGAACGCTACCATATGCATACTTTCAACATTTTAATTAATAGTTTCGCAAGGAACCTAAATCTTCTTTTATCAGTTTGGTAGTTGGTCTCCATCAATTCAATTCACTCGATATTTCAAAAATAGTCAAATTTCGATGTTAATTTTGGCCAAAAACCAACTTGAACTAACCTCACCTACACTTTCAAATTTCAGCAACACAGCAAATTCAATGGCATCAAACAACAAAACTAGTATATTGAAACACTGTTCCCCAGTTAATCAAACTGCAATAAAACTACATTATGCATCTGCGTACCTTAATTCTTCCTGCTCCAAAAAACACTCAAAACCATCGTCAGCTTCCATTGTTGATATTTCCTCCACCAGTAATTCCAGTACAAAATATATCTGTTGGCAACTGGGGTGAGAATGATCTTCTGCAATGAAAGCATGAACGTTATTTTTGACTTCAATCCAACTCCAACCAGGGACTTTCTTAACTCCTCTTTCCTTCATTAGCCTTTTCACTTTGGCCTTTTCTTCCCATCTCATTAGATTTCCATACATGTTTGAGAGGAGAACATAAGTGCAGTGCTCTTCAGGCTCCATCTCTAGCAGATGGCTTGCAACCTGACAAGCTAATTCAATGTTTCCACAAGAACGGCAGGCACCCAGGAAAGTCTTCCACACCATGGCGTCGGGTTTGAATGGCATTTCTTCTATTAAGGCTTTGGCTTCCTCGAGATGGCCAGAACGGCCGAATAGATCAACTGCACAAGCATAGTTCTCCATCCGTGGAGGAATGCCGTAATCAGATTCCATGCTCCTCAAGAATTTTCGGCCCTGTTCGATTAAACCGATATGGCTACAGGCAGTTAGGACGGCGACGAAGGTAATGTGATCCATTTTCACCTTCTTCTCTTCCATTAGGAAGAAGAGGTCTAATGCAACATTGCACTGTCCATGTTGTGCATAACCAAACATGAGTGCATTCCAAGTGATTGAAGAGTTCTTTGAAGCCTCTTCAAATGTTTTTCTAGCATCTTCAATAATCCCACACTTGGAATACATGAAGATTAATGAACTCGCGACGAACTCGTTGGACTCCAAACCGTACTTGAGTGCCAAGACATGAATCTGTTGTCCCAACTGAAAGGTAGCCAAATATGAGGATGATCTGAGAACAGCAGAAAATGAATAGTGATCGATGTCCATTTCTGCCGATCTCATATTCAGAAAGAACTTTACCGCATCTTCGCCCAACCCTGTTTGCGAGAGTCCAGTCAAGATCGAGTTCCAAGACACACGGTCCTTGGACTCTAAGGATTCAAATATATACAGGGCTTCTATCATGGATCCACTGTCGGATTTAAGATACATAGATATCAATGCATTTGAAATTGGCACTGATTGTTCTAATCCCCTCTTTATCACCAACCCATGTAAGGATTTCCCATTATTGCTGAGCTCTTCGTCGAAACAAGCACTAATAATGCTTGTGTAAGAATACAAATCTGGTTCGAAACCATGTTCTTGCATGTCAATCAAGAGTTTAAAGGCAAGATCTTCCTTCCTATGCATCAGATAAGCAGYTAACATGGAGTTCCATGTCACCAAATCCCGGATGCCTGCTGAACAATCGAAAATCCTTTCAGCATCATCAAGGGATCCACATTCTGAATAAGAAGTGATCAAGGCATTACACATTGTATTAACAGATGCCAATCCATGTTTCATCACTTTTCCATGGATCTGCCTTGTTAAGACAAAGAAGTCGGCATCATCAAGCAAAGGCAAAAGAGGAGCAAATGTGCCATCATCAACCTTCTCACCTTCTTGCTCCATACAATCCAACAACCAAAATGCGGTTTTGCAGTCGCCTGTTTGAGCATATCCTGCAATCATTGCATTCCACGAAACAGCATTCTGTTTTGAAATGCTCAAGAACGACAAATATGCATCCTCAAGTCTCTCACATTTTGCATACATGTCCAGAAGAGCACTCCCTGCATATACATTTTCAGCATAACCCATCTTAATGACCATAGAATGTATCTGCTGACCCAAATCAAGCACACCAGCACAAGCAATGCCCTTAAGCATGCTTCCAAAAGTATACTCATCCAGCCCAAAACCACACCTTCTCATCCATTTAAGATCATCCCACGAAGTCTCCAAGTTTCCACAGTTTATATGCCCTGCGATCATCGTATTCCAAGACACTGAGTCTCTGTGGGGCATTTCGTCGAACAGTTCCTCCGCGAGTCGTAACTCTTTGCATTTTGAATACCCATTTAGGATATTGTTGCAAGTGTAAACGTCCGCGATGGTACCCAATTTGATAGCCTGGGAATGGTTTAACAAAAGCTGGGACAAAGCCCGAAACGATGTCCCAACTGCCGATTCCAGTGACCTCATTCATGGGTAGCCCAACTTTCTTTTCCAGCAGGCAAAAAACAGAGCGTAATTGAATCAAACCAGAATACTTCAAATAACGGTGAAGGTGGTAACTGAAAGGGAATGATAGCAGAAATGGAAACGCCACAAATACTGTAATTAAGGAATTCTGAAGGATCAAGTAGAAAGTTGATTTTGGGGAGAAAAAAAAAAGAGTTTTAGGAATCCATGAATCTATTTGATACGTTCATAATCGGTTAATCGGTCGGGGATTTAAATAATTATTTAACCTAAATACTAAATTGTAACATTACCAACCCCATGAAGATCTTAAAAATTGTTTTCAATCATTTAAAATAAAAAAAAAAAATTTCTAACTATAGTTTTTTCATGTTCTTGATAGGTTTTTTTTTTTTCTAATAAGCAGAGACAATCCAAGCTATTCTTCATTTTCAGAAAGTCTAAAAATATTTCCAATATATTGTATGAATATCAATAAAATATAAAAACTGACAACAAAAATATCATATAAAGAAGTGTGGAATACTCACTTACTAACCCAAATAATTTGTGCATTTATCAACATTTCTATAAACTTGAGCCTTTAACATTCTCATTGTCAATATATCAATATTCCAAATCGTTGTTAGGAACATCCATTTGGAAGTTTACTGATAAATTTTCCACCAGTATTGAATATCATAAGCTTTAGACCTTAGCTTGTAATTCATTTCATGAATAATTTTAAGAGCATAGGACAATTATTGACAATGGAAATTCTCTAATCTGCATGACACTTGAAAATCTCTCGCTCGAAAAAAAGCTAAAATGGTCAATCTTCATTCATTGTGGCAGATTTTGGAAGCATTGCCATGATACAAGGTTAATGTAATTCAGCTTTGGTTCCAGCATCTTCAGGTTCTGCAGTTTCTTCTTCCAAATCATCATCATCAATATCGTCAATCGGAATGTCTTCACGATCAACGAACAAACCTGCATCCATAAATATTACAGAAAAATTACCATTCTGCTATTAGGAAAAATGTAAATGTACAACGTATGTGCATCAATACACCAAAATCAGTGAGCAATACTACAGATCTCAGAGAGGTGAAACAAATCCGTACTATTCTGCTAATAGAAATAGATCCAAATAAACAGACGGACTTCAATCGAAAATAATCAAACCTAAATGATAATTACAAAACTGTTTAGTAATCGAATCCCATAAAGAGGTATTAAGCCAAACAATTTCTTACCCCTCTTCTCAAGACCTCTCCACCCTCTAAAAATTTACCATTCCTCCCCAGCCATATACCCCACAAAATAAAAATGAAAATTCTGCTAATAGATACCCCACAAAATAACATTTTTGGATTCCTTTTGAGGGGCTGGTTTTTTGTCCATAAAAAAAAAGAAGCTGCTAATAGAAAATCTCAAAGAAGAAAATTCACCGTCCAATAAAATCATACTCAAGAGTTCTAGTTTTTATTCACTCAGAACCACGATCAGTGAACGCCTATCAGTAACAGAACTACTTGTTCTAAGCTATCAAGGAGCAAATAAACATCATAAGGTAAACAGTTTACCACTATCTGAGAAAGGAATAGAACTCCCAGATGGTTCAGCAGGTACTGACATGTCATCAAGAAGATAAGGGAGTTCGAGAAACTTCAGCAAAGACTCAGTCTGAGGATTTCGGGGATATCCTGTCATACAGTCTATCCATCAATACCTTAAGAATTGAAAACCACCCTCCCTGGTACTAATACAGTGAACTAGAAAAAGAACACAAGATCTAAGTTCATTCTACTTACACAGATATATTTTTTTTTTGGATCAGAATACTTACACAGATATAACTYGATTGAAAAAATTATTTGAATTACCAGCAAGCGGACTACTGGAGACAGATCTTGTTGGATCATAACAAGGAACAGTCTGAACGAATTCAAAGGGTTTTGTTCCTCTTTCTTCCAACTTGCTATGGAYCCATTGTCGACAATCTTGCATTTGAAGTTGTACACCTCTGATATTACAAAATGGAGAGTTACAACTCATACTGTCAATAGCCCACAAATGAGAATGGGGGGTCATAATGTCCAATAAAATCTTCATAAAGAGTTATTGTAAATGCTTACGCACCCATAATTTGCATTTCTGGCCGTCAATGGGAAGATTGCATTGTACCTTCGTGTTATTGCCAACCATTCTTCATCATAATGAATCTCATAAGGTCCAGGTTCTGTTTCAATCTCAAAAACCTAAAAAACCACAAGCACACAGTTAAAGGCTTGAAATCATCAGCATCTAGCAAAATCCAAAAAAGGACCTTATGGAGAACTATTAATGAGTTCAAATCAAAATTGAAGTACCTGTAAAAATTTGTGCCTAGGGAGACACTTATCAAGCGCAAGAAATTTTGTCAAAGGGCCACCTTCACCATGTTGCACAAGAGCAGCAAACTTACAGTGCAGGTGGGCTGAAAACCAATAAGGTGGTCTCAACTTTTCCAGCAACTCGGCAGCAGCCTTACTCCCAAGACTTCTTTCCTGAATCTGGCGTTAAAAATTCAACTACAYAAGTCATGAACCTCAACARCATAATCAGGAAAACTTTACTGGTACAAAGGTCAAAATCAGCAAGTAAACATATCAGAAGATGTTGGAACATTTTTTCTGGAGTCTACTTAAGTTCCTCTGGGGACCATTCTAGATAAAAGTCAGATTCCTCAAGGTTCTTTAAAACAATATGTTTAATTTACTTGTGCCTTCTTCATAACTTAAAGCTGAAGCTATGCATGAATCATAATCTATACTAGCTTTCTGGATCCAAATGCTTTGCCTCTGACTTTACAAGAAGTTCTAGTCGTTATAATTCAGGTCCCAGTCCCATCAATTAACCAATTTCAACAACTTCTATGGAATTTAATAGCAATAAAATCCTCTTCTGACCTTCACTTTTGTCCTGTGCTAAGTGYTAATCAAGTTAATTACTAAAATCTTAGAAGGGTAATGTGATTTAAGAGTGATAGGTAGACGTAGCATTAGATCAGGTACTTTTCACATCAACTATGTACAATTCAATCTGACAATGATAACATAGAAGTTCATGTCAGAGGTGGGATGCCCTCAAAATGATAGTAAAATAAACCTTACATCTAAGCTCCAATTAAAAAAAAAAAAAAAATTACATCTATGTCTCAGCAGTTCATATCATGCAGATAATTACTATGGATGCACTTTTAAAGTTGTTGAGTAAGTAGTAACAATATTTTTAGCTACCTCCTTCTCAAAAAAGGGTTTGGACCTAACAAGTTGCTCCCAGTCTCCATAATCAGTGATGCCAACTGGCCAATCATGGGAAAGAAAAATGTCAATGGGTTCCTCAAGTTGCATAAGCTTCTGAACATCATATTCACGGACGTGATAAACAGATCTTATAGTATTCTCATTGTACGGAGGCCTCTCATGGTGACCTGCCCATTRCATGTGAAGGAGATTATCCTGCATGCAGCTTAACACATATTGCGGAAAAATAACAGGGCAGCACAAAGATAAAGATACGGAACCATACATTTAAAATACCAACCCTTTTTTAATATGCAAACTTACTCCCAGGAGGAAGGACTTCCTATATTCTAAAAATTTAATGAAGAGCTAGTATGTTACCTGCATATGGATCTACTTCCAAAAGCTTTACCAATAAAAAAGTTCCTCAACAGATAATAAATTGAGAAAGAGTCTCTTCAAAAGCACTCAAGAAACAAAACCCAACCCAAAAAATGAAACCTACTGTAGAAAATGCAACTACTCGTTCTGTGAACTATTACCTCATTCAAGATCATTAATATATACCAGATTCCATGACCAAATATAGCACAAGAAAGGAACAAAAGAAAACCTCGACTGCATGTTAATCAATCCAGATAACTCACTCACTCTGTTTCACGACTACATAAATAACGGATGGAAAATTATTCACCCACCTAAATGATAATTGCGTGCCTTATAAATCCCAGACAGCCCACCAATACGGATATTTCCAAACTTGACTACACCAGCAAAGCCCAAGAAGTAAATATTAGGCGCAGCCCACCCTCCATAGTACCTAAAATAACAATKGGATCCTGATAATTTATGTGCCATGTGCATAAAAGGACACAAAGCCTCAGAAAAACAACAATCAAACGGAAACAAAAAAAAAAAACATGAGAAGCAATTAAAATTGAGGGCGTAGAGACTAGTTTACAAAGATCTCACATAATTGTTCAATAGAATGACAAAGTATCTGAACATCTGAATAGCATGTCGGGAAACTTTATTGCAAATTATTAATTTTACTTTTTTTTTATACTATCCGTGAGTATCCAGACCAGCTTACACGCACCTCATATAATTCTATTGCCAATTATTCAATCGAGATATTTTTCACAATTAAGCGCAGCATTCGAAAAATCAAAAGCTATACGCAAGCGATCCACAACTGTGACTCACTTTTCAGAATCTCTCTTACCCCCAAAATAAAATTTCATAGCTCTACACACCAAGAACACAAACAACCGAAGCACTCATGGAGACCCGTTAAGATATAACACAAGTTAAGCTCAAGTAACTCACAATTCCCACAGATAATTAGACGCTTCGTGATTTCCACCAATGAAAATAGTAGGATAGGGAGCGACTTCAGCTCCAGAGTAATACTTCCAGAAGGAGTTCATGGACCGATATTTCGGGGGCACATTTAAGCTCTTCAGATCGTTTTCATTTCTAACAGCCTAAATAGCGCAGAAAATTGAAATGATTTTGGGAGTGCAGATACTTGAAAATAGAAAAGATTAGGGGAAATGCGATGCAAGTCCAAGTGAAGGAAAGAAGTACCTGAAAGTCGCCACAGCAGAGAAGAAGGTCGATTTTAATGCCTTGAACTTTCTCTATGTGTTGGAGAGTTTTGTAGACATTGTCGAGGTCGCCGTGCATGCAACCTTCCACTGCAATCCTCATGCTGCTGCTGCTGCTTCTTCGTCTTCGCGGGAGAGGCGGTTCCGAGGAAATTTCTTGAATTTGAAAGCAACTTTTTGTGAAATGCTTCAGTTCATTTCATTTCATACGCCCCCTTAAACCCTCTATTTTTCTTCTCCAAAGGCAAGCAACAAAGGTTCCAAAATAACAGCAAAATACAGTTAAAAACACACATACGTCACAGTGAGTTCAAAATATTACAAATATATAGCTTATTTCAAAATTATTCTAGAACCACTGATTTTAGTGAAAGAGATTTAACCCTAATTAATTTTGTAAAAGATATTTTTATATAATTATTTTAATATTTACTTAATATTTTTTTATATAATTAAAAATAATTTTAAATAATTAATATTTAAAGTTTAACTTATTCCCCTTATAAAATTACCAAAGTGTTTCCATTTTTCAAAAACAAAATCCTCTCTCACCTTAAACTTCACGCTCCTTTTTTAATTCGAGCAATCAATTACAAATCTAACGTATAAAAAATCTATAAAAAAATGCTTTAAATTACATCATGAAATGATTAAATATTAAATCATTTAATATGAAAAATCGAATTTAATTACCAAATTTATGGCAAGCAGGAGGGAAGAAGAGGTTGGATGAGGAGAGAGGAGAAAAAATGAAATTAAAAAAAAAATCCATGTAAACCCAAATTAATATAAAACTAACAAAAATTATGATCACATTTACATTTACCTCTGTTTGGAACCTCCGATCTGAAGAATTATTTGTATAGATAAAGGAAAATGAATTTAAAATCATAAATGATTTCAAATTCTGTTTTTGGTTAAAATATTTTMTGTTCTAAATAGATGATTGCGAGGATTTTAGGTTTAAACGTTTCKATTTTGTAATATCTATCGTATATAACCTCCTTGTTTTGTAATCCTAAACCAAATTAGTTTCAAGTTTTGATTTATTTTTTTAGTTCTAGTAACTATAAACCGACTCTCCTTACCTTTTTTTTTTGATCACGTTGATTTTCTATTTTGTTTTTGGCGTATTTAATTTTTCTTATATGTCAATATTGTTAAGATCTTATATGTTTATTATAAATAACTATGATAAAAAAACACATTACTACAAATAAATTAAAATTGTTTGATTTTAAGTTTTTTTTTTTTAATATTGAAGACATTTACAATTTTTTTTAGTTTAGTTTATAAAATAAATGTGACATTGAAAATTTTTAATTAAATTATTTATGTATTACRCAGTTAAAATTATTAGTTTATATAAAATATTATATTATAAATAGTGCAAAATATTTAGGGCATAATAGTAAAATGTTATATTTTCTTTTTATTTCTCTTGAAGATCATCGWGTCGAGCTCCACATATCCTGTGATCGATTACATAAAAGATGAGATCAGTAAATGGAAATTAACTGAAATTTTATCTTAGATCGCCAATATTGTACCAATCAATATAGCTATCCTTCTTCTGACGTAGCAACGCAATTTCACAATCAGTATCGAAATGAAGTACTAAATAATTAATTTCTTCTTTTCTTGGTGCTGATTGTGATCTCAACTATACCAGACTTCTCWCAAGAAAAAKAAAGGAAAAAAATACTCAAAACAGTCTATATGTAAATCTTACATTAAAACCTAATTTAAAAAAAAAAATCACTGGRATAAATCACCCTYCAGGAGATTGAACATTCTATTTTTAAATAAAAGTAATTCTAACCATGTCAAAATCACTCCAAACATATCTTAAATTAATTTTTCTTTTTTTTCCTCAAAGAACGCTCTGCCCCTTTTTTTAAGTATATTTTTCAAATACAAAACAATGGATCTACCGTGCACGTACAAGGGCAAAATTACGAATAGCATATAAATGGAACAAAAGTTGGAACTATAACTATAACAATTAACAAGTTATACCATACTTCAGGTTTCAGAATTATGAATAATGGTCAGCCTGTCACCTGCATACACTAAATCTAGAATTCTATCATCTGAAAAGTGATAAATAGGGATCCACCTCAATAATTAACGTGGAGAAGAAGCAGTTTCAGAGAGTGAAATGAATCTTCTACCAAGTGGAGCTATCATTATACAATAACATCATATGAAATCCTAAAACTTCAACCATCTTTTTTCCTTTTCTCTGCTGGTGACTGCATTGGAGGCAGAAGCATGAGCTGCCTCTGCCTCGACCAAAGCTTTGCGAGTCTCGATCAGCTTTCTTGAGGCAGCCTCGTAGACAGCCTTCTCTTTCCTATTTCTGTTCACCATTTCTTCAAGCTTCTCGGCTCGTAGTCGAAGGTCTTTCACCTCATCGTCATATGCAATTAAGGTTCGTCTATCCACCTTCTTCCCATCTTCTGAACCTCTATCTTTCTGTTTCTTCACAGATCCACCATTCAATGCTGCATTATGCATAGCAAGGTGGTTGTTGATAAGATTAAATACATCAGGTCTTGACTCGTCTTCCTCTTTAGCTGCCCGGGCTGCTGCAGCAAACTTTTTCTCACGGTTCCTCTTACCGCCTCTGCTTCGTTTCTTACCTATATTCTCGTCATTACTATTGCTATTATGCTCTTTCTGAGACTCCAGAGCATGATCAAGAGATTGCTTCGCTGGAAGCACTTTGACAGGAATAGGATTTAGCATCCCCTGCCCAGACGCGCCCAAACCCATTCCTTCACGATAGCCCATATTAGCCATCATCTTGGAAGCAATTCCCCGGGTATGGTTCTCCCATTTAGCAAATATGGAGGTCTCCGTCTGGATGCCCCTCTGCTGGGTAGAGCTTTCTAGAAATCCCAAACCCTGCAAACCATCCTCTTCATAATCACTTGAATCAGACYGTTCCAAGCTGGAGTCACTTTCCTCTTCATCGCTAATTTGAGCATATTCAGACAATGCTATGTCCTCTGGCCCAAGATTTTGAGAGGATCCATCATCTTTGAAAACAACTTGTGCAACTTGAAGAGCATCATCCCAAGATTCAAGTTCRGCATGCCTCCAAATGCCATTCCTAGACGACAGAGCCCAGATACGAGACCCTGCCAGTGACTGGTTCCAAACTGTTGGCACATATTTCCTAATGGAGGTTAAAGGGATATCAACTCCTGCACATTAAGAACTCTTTCAGCTAATTGAGAATAGCAGCATAGCTATTGCCTAATACAAAGGAAAAAACCATTCTCCAAAACGGTGAATAAAAAACTAGGGTAGTTAAATAATTTGTTTTTTTATTCTTTGTATTTTTTGAGACATTAAGTTCAATTTAAATACAATTGAAAAAGTAAATCAAGCAGAAATAAATTCGTGATCATGGCATTATTGGAACTGAGGTAAGATACAATAAATATTTTTCAAACATGTTAAGGGCAAGACTACCTTGTGTCACATAATGCGTAATCATAGAATGTATCATGCAAGGAATTTACACGTATAGACAGCAGCATTGAGGGGGAGTCCTAGAGGCTAGAAGTTAGATCTTTGCAAGCATCTGGCAATGCATAAAAATTAGGAAATTTTTTCAAAGAGATTTAGGAAAATAGAAAAATCCATGGCAGTTTCTCTTTCCTCTCTTGCTCTCTTAGGTGAAATAGCTTTAGTTCACAGTTCTGTGACATGTTTTTCTCCAGTGCAACCTTCATTTTCTCTAGTTCTAGGATTGAGGATCTAGTCCCCCACTACCTCTTGCATTATTCTTCTTCTTCTTCTTCTTCTTCTTCTTCTTCTTTTTTTTTTTTTAACAAGAAACAACTTTTCATTGATATATGAAAAAGGAATCTTGCATTCTTCTTTTTAATAACAATAAGGGAGTTTCTCATCTCGAGGTAGGGTTAGAAGTAATGGTTATTGCAGAAGATCTAAGATCTTCTCCCCTTCTCTATTAGTAATAAAATGATTAAAGACTCTACAACACAAAAACTGAACAGAACCAGATTTCTTTTTCATACTGGACTCCTACGAAGGAAAACTTTTAACCAAATCAAGATCTTCATCATTATTTTCATTCTGCAACTTCCTTTAGTAAATAGAGTTCATCTCAAGATAAGTATTGCTCGTGGGAATAACCACTGAAAGTTTGAAACAAGAGGAAGGCTTTACTTAATGAGTTGTTGGATCTACATGGTCCATGTGAAAGAGTACGACATACCATGCGATAAGCGGCAGCTAGTGCCAAACCGACATCTTTGTTGTAAGAAGAACTTGCATATCTGCACTTTGGTGTTGTTATGTAACATTAGTATCATGATGTGAGAAAAACCATAGTGATTGCTCAATAATCTTGGTGATCAAAATCTGTCATTGCTAACACTTATCAAAACTCATCTAGTAAGTACTCTTAAAAACTGATTCTCGGTATAGGTAAGAAGCTAGTTGCATTCCCTTGCAATACCAAAGACAACCACAACCATACAGAAGATACAATACACATGCTTAATTCAAGTCTAAATAATATGTGCACAAACACTTCAGAAGAAATAAATCACAAGATAACTTGGTGGTGAAGTAATAAAACAGTTCCAGAAAAGCCGAAATATAGAGCCCCGGACTGCTTACCAGCAAATTCTCAGTCGTAGGAGTGAGGAAAGAAATTTTCGCAGAATTAGAACCATCCAATCCAACAATTTCACCATCATACCAACGTCCATCGGTATGCCTGAATCTGCATTTTGATCCAACGATGAAACTTTGGTCCTCTAGAGGTTCAGGCTCGACATCCGTAGGATCAAGAGGCTCCACCCGAACATCCTCCGCGTTACTATCACAACCACGCAACACCGAATCTGCCTCTCGCAACAACCTAGCACGCTTAAGGTGAAGAAGCCCTTCCTCGGCATCTTTAATTGCTTGGACAAGCTCCTCATGAACCTTGACATTAAACAGATGACATTTCAGCAAAAGCAACGACCGGAAGTTTCCAAAAGTTCTAAAATTACGTAATCGAAATAAAAGAGAAGCCAAAACTGAATTCGTGCATTCCTCTTCTAATTTTTTCTCCGTAGCCAAACGGAAATTCATAGAAGATGAAGTAACGTACMGCAAGAAGCTCGAGATTGGAGGCGTCGGAGGCTAGGGCATCCTGTAAGGCGGCGAGAGAGTCTTTTTGCTCGTGCAATTGAACCTCCAGCTGCAGCTCCAGAAGTCTCTCTTCGTCGCTCGTCATTGCCCCCTATCGCGAGATTGAATGATCTTCTGTGTGGGAGAGATGAAGAGAGCGGCATTACTGGAACCAAATCGCAGCGCCAAGGCTCGACCCAGTGCTCAATTCGCTGCGCTTCGTCGTTTCTGGACTCTCTGAATAACGGATCATAGCGTGGGCCGCACAGAATGTAATATTAGCCCATTGCACTTTTTTTTATTTTGGATATATGCTAAAAAAATAAGCTAAATTCTAAAGGCAAAAATCGGAAATTATATTTGCTTTTTGAAAAATGATAGCTTGATTTAGAATTAAGAGCCTAATTTCATGGASTAAAGTAGTGTRSTGTTTGGAGTCAAATAGGTCAGTGGTGATTGACATATATCAGATTGTGAGTTCGATTTCTTATCATATATATTGTACTAAAAMAATGTAGCTAAAATATTTAGTAATAAATCATTGTTTTCATGGGTTCTCATTTTTATTGTAGGATCCCATCAAATCAAAATCATCTACAATATACAATAATGTGGAGACGWGGAAATTGAACCTTCAACTTCAAAATAAAATGAGCAAGATGCCTTGATCACTAAACCAACTTTGTTGGCACTTCATGTATTATATTTACATGTACGTGGCGTTCTATCTCCTTAACGCTCTGGTTTAAAGCCTAATTGTCAACAAAATCGTTGCTCCAACCATTTCAAACACATTACACACGAGAAGGACAAAGTAATGTGCTACAATTTCAACAATAACCATTAAAAAACAGCCYATAACAAAGTCGTTCGAGTTTTAAATTTTTATCAACGTTTTCATATGTCTATGAATTCGACATTAACACAAGGAGTGAATCARCATTTACATAACATCGCAAATGATCGATGATTAATTAAAAAAATATCAACAAATATCAGTAACGTAGACACGATATGAATAATGAGAATTTCAAACTTATTTAAAAATAGTGAAAAGCTTATTTGTAATTTAAAATATTTTTATAATTTTATTTTATTTTTATGATTTTTCTAAAAATATTCATCAACATTTATATTTACATTAACATTTTTACCAAATAACCAGCGAGGGTCGAGAAAATATATGTTTGCTTCAAGGGATAGAGGATTGAACTTATTGCATTAAATAAACGAGCAAAAAAATCTTAACAATTTAGTTAAAGTTCATCTTGGCATCATCCAATTCCAAATACTTTTATAAAAAATTAACATAAAAAAAAACTTTACATTATTATAATCATCCACTATCCACTTAACTATTTACAACTTATTATATGATTTGGTCAAAAACCTTAATTATATCACATATGGTTAAATAGTAATAAAAAGTTGACATAACCTTTGTCAAAATTGATACGGGTGTCCTTTTTCATAATAAATTCAAATGTCACATTAACTTTTACGTCACATCGCATCAACTATTAATTTGGTCTTTTTTTTTTATTTTATAACTTTTTCCTTGAATTCCTAAAACTTCTAAATATCATGTTTTTTCTTTATTTATTTGAATGTAATTAAAGTTTAATTTTAAGCTATAAACAAAAACTTAACTAGGCTCGTTTTTTTTTAATTTGAAAGAAAATATGTTCTTATTTTGTTTTATTTTTTAGTACCAGATATTGAGGAGGGGATTCGAACTCACCACCTTTTAAAGATATATATCAATTACTACTGAGCTATGCTCGTTTTGACGGCTCTTATTTGATTTGTTCGCTTAATGAGTTAAAATGTATATAGAAAATTGCTTAAATTATCTTCAGTAGGTCAGATATTGGATTTTGAAATTGATTTTAGATGTTTTTTATTGAATGATTAATGTAAAATCAATGAGAAATATCAAAATATTAAATAATATTAATGAGAGCTAAAGAGTTGCCAATGGACAGTTAGAGATTTGGACGGTGAGATTTGAAGGGGGAAGCCGTGGCTTTTACAAGTTTACAACATATCATATATTATTCATGTGTACCACATGGGCTGCACTATTTTTTTTTCTTTTTGTCTTACGGAAAGGAAAATCACATGTTTTTTTCCTTTTTTTTTCTTCTTGTTTTGAAGTTGAACTTTTTACTATTAAAATAATAATGCAAAACTTGTCTTCAAATATTTTCATCATTAAAAAAAAATTATATTAAATTCAACTACCATAAGTTCGATTTGCAATCACGGTACACAAATGAAAAGAAATAGAAAACCAATAATTATATAACCAGGATATTAAAAGCATACGAGTATGATGAATGTCAAATATTATGGAGACAATTTTTTCTTTCTTATATCATATGTTAGTGCATCCACAAAAGAGGAAGTCGCAGTACATCTTGATGAGTAGGTGTAGCTAATTGGAATGCAAGTGTAACATAGGTGAGAGAAGAAAGTTGTCAGGGAGGAAGCTAAACTAGTCTATTAAGCACATATTAAGCAAATATGCGCCAAAAATCACGACTAGATGCTAGACATAAACTCTACTCGACTCTAGTTCAATATTTGAATTGTATCTATTTTAAAAATTAGAAACCACAATAGAGTAGACCTGAAAGTTTAGAAGCGAAGCAACTAATTGATATTTAAATCTAGAAGAAAAATGTTAAATTATAAGTTAGTCATTTGATTTCTAGAGTCGTGCCTAATAAATTTTTAAACTAAAAAAATGTTTAATAACCCTTCAAAACCTCGTTTATTTCAAGGGTATGAGAAGCAAAATTTTCATTGTTTTTCACAAAGTTTATTAGATGATAGTAATGTAATCGTGCAACCCACGTGCTCTTTAAAATAGTATAATCTCATTCTTCCGAAGGTCACTCAAATCAAGACTACTCCAAGTCATGAATGCTTAACTTTCTCTCTTGGTAATATTCAAATGTTATATCGGTTTATTCATATACCCCTCATTTCTATCGGTGGTAATAACAATAAAATTTAATAATATTTGTATTAAATGAGAGTTGTTCTATAAAGTATCTATATATATATATATATATATTATGTAATTTTATTTTAATTATTAAAAAATAATTTAAAATTTATTATTATTTTAACAATTTCTTATTATAGGTTACAAATAAGAAAGGTATACTATCAATTGTCTTATTATGATTTCCGACAATTTTGAATCAACATCAAAACATTTCTAATTTCGTATCTAGAAAATTTTTAGTAAACAAAAATTTTTGTTTCAACTATTCTCATTTCAATTGCGTGTGAGTCAGCAAGCCGAAGTGTTGACCCCAAGTCCCTTAACTTTCATATCAATAAATTGATTTTAAAAAAATATCTAATTAGTTTTTTTTTAAAAAAAAATATCTAATTAATTAATGATCTATTCAACATCAAATTAAAACTTAAAACACTATATTTCAATGTTAAGAAACTATTGGTGTAAATTGCAAAAATTATGTATGATAGTTGTTACAATTATACCCCAAACTTTCAATTGTAAAAATTAAACCCTCAAATATTTATAATTGAAAAACTTAGACCCCTAAACTTTAATAGTAAAAATTAAATCCTTAAATTCTCGTACATGATAAAATTGCACCATCTGAATTAATAGTTAAAATTAAATCCTATAATTAAAAAAACGTATCTATTTGACATTTCCTTCCACCAATTTTATGTTTAAATTATTCTTCATCTTCATTGACGATGAAATGATTTACTTGCACTTGGGTGGTTCCAACGTTGCACTACTCGGATTTTTGGGTTCAACTCATATCTCTAAAAATATTTTCTGTTTGTTTCTAGAGGAAAGTCTCTCTTCTGCACTTCTTATAAATTTTCTAACAATAATCTCTATTTTCCTAGTGGGTGGAAGGAATTGTAAAATATATTTTTTTTCCTATTAAACATATTTGTGAAAGTTTAAGATTTAATTTTGATCTTGAAAGTTTAAGGATGTAAGTTTTTTATTAATGATAGTCGAGGGTTTAAATTATGCCATTAAAAGTTTAGTTTGAGGGTTTTTGCAATTTACCCAAACTATTAAATACAAAATTTAAATGGGGAAATTAAAAGTTTGCATAGGTTTTTATATGGTCGGAGAATCCAATGATCGAATGCTTCTTCATCGGCCCCAACCATTTGCCTGTGCAAGAGAATAGAGAGTTAGGCGGAACATCATTTTTGTATTGAATTTCACGCGTCGCCAGTGACCAGTGTGAATCGGCTTGACACGAAAACCTCTTCAAATTCCTCCGTCCAATCCAGTCACGCCCTCATTTTCTTTTGCTTTTCCAAGCTAAACAATGGTGGGTAATCAATATGATGGCTGTAGAGAGAGAGAGAAAAGAAAAAAACATAAGGGAAAAAACGTGGGAATTGGGATAATGGACTTTGAAATTGAATGATATCTCAAAGTAAAATTGTTTGTTTTCAGTTTTTACTTGTTCAAATTTTGTTTTTAGACTTTCCAATTACTTGAATTTGCAAAAAGTAAAAAACTTGGATCAATTTGATTGTCGGGTAAAATGGGGTATTTACAGAATGAAATCAACTTCAACAACACCCCAAAAAATCTATTGCCATTTTTTTGAAGAGAGTTGCGATGGACGGTGGACCAGGAGACGACTAGTGTAAACCCATTGAGTTCGGGTCTTATCGGAGAGCGATTAGGTATCGATTTCCATTTTCAATGGAATGTACTCTTGAAATTGTGAGCTGCGAGCTGCGAAAACTAGGCTCCACTTTGACGCCCAGCGTGGAAAAGGCATAAACTCGGTGCAATGGAGGAATAAAAGGACACATCCACAATCGCCATATTTTGCTACATCCTCTCCTTGTGGCTGTGGAGCAGTCCCAGAAGGTCCCTCTCAGAGAACTTCAATGTCCGTTTGATTTTTACGTTCTAATTCTGAACCATAATCTCCCCCACCATCTCTCTCCCGCATTCTTTTTTTCCTTTTTCTCGTTTTACTTGCGTGGGAGTTCTATTTTGGGTTTTACAGGACACCCATTTCATTTGATCTTCCATGTATCTTACTTAGCTGCAAAACCATGCGTAATCCATCGGCAATAGTCCAGGAAAATGGTTCGGTATTCGATTTCGTTTCTCAATTGGGTTATTTCGCGTTCAGTTCAAGGTTTTTGAACTTGAATTCAGATGGGTGTTCTGGCTCGTCCTCACACTCTTCCTACTTGAACCGGTTTGAGGGTTATCGTTGTGCCAAAAGGCCGCCCAAGTCCGGTGTCTCGTTGAACTTGGGTTCAAGAGGCAGCTCAAGCTTTAGGAGATTTCTGAACGAGTTCAATGGTGTAATAAAGTTCCATTGTGACAGACCCCCACTTGGGTTCGCTTCAGTAGGTGGCGTTTCAGATGAAGCCAATGGGATTAAAGACGACGGCTTCGGTTTATCGCATGATGGCGCAGAGCCATTGAATGGAGTCGGGACTGAGAAACCCAAACGAGTTCTTATTTTGATGAGCGATACTGGTGGGGGTCACCGGGCCTCTGCTGAAGCCATCAAAGCAGCGTTTAATGAAGAGTTTGGGAACGAATATCAGGTTAGTTTTGGTGGGTTTGATGGTGGGAATCGTTTAATTCCTATAGTTTCTGTTGAATTCAAGGACCCAGAATGCAAGTTTAGAATTTTGTACCTTTAATATTCACTTTCTTAACAATCAATTTTGAGAGTTAAGGAAAGCATATTATATCTTTGCTTTATCTGGATCTTTGGAAATGTTCTGCATCTAATGAGAGCACGATTGCAGGTGTTTATAACTGATTTGTGGACGGATCACACTCCTTGGCCGTTCAATCAATTGCCAAGGAGCTATAACTTCTTGGTGAAACATGGTACATTGTGGAAAATGACATACTACGTGACTGCTCCAAAAGTGATTCACCAGTCAAATTTTGCTGCTACTTCAACATTCATAGCTCGGTGAGTTTTTCTGCCCCTCCAACCAACAGTTGCTTTATACATTTTCTTATGATCATTTGAAGGGCTTAAAAATAGGCTGCCGAAGTTTCAATGACTATTTCCTTTGATTGTGGGATTCTGGTTCTTTTGAGTTGTTTGTTCTATCTCATGAGATTTTTCCTCCCAGAGAGGTGGCGAAAGGACTGATGAAATATCGGCCAGATATTATTATCAGTGTACATCCTCTGATGCAGCATGTTCCCCTTCGTATTTTGAGATCGAAGGGCCTCTTGAATAAGATTGTTTTCACCACAGTAATCACGGATTTGAGTACCTGCCATCCTACGTGGTTAGTCTTTCTTTTTGTTATTTTTTATCAATCCCTTATTATACGTGTAGTTTTTATTATCTATTCACTTTTGCTCAGGTTTCACAAGCTTGTAACAAGATGCTACTGCCCGTCTACGGAAGTAGCAAAGAGGGCTTTGAAAGCTGGACTCCAGCCTTCCAAACTAAAGGTTTATGGCCTTCCCGTGCGGCCTTCTTTTGTTAAGCCTGTTCGTCCGAAGGTAGAGTATTGATCTAATAATTTCTTATTTGCATTTAGTGCCTCTCTTCCTCACTTGTCATGTTATTTTTTTATCTAAAGAATCCAACGCCCTCTATTTTAGGACTTGGTGAATTGTTTGTGATTTGCTATGCTGGTTTTTACTAAATATTCCATGATCTCCTAATTGTGTACTAAATGTTTAACTATTTATATCCTCAAGGTATGCCGAATAGAAATCTCTTGTATATTTTCTGCAACCACAGATGGAATGAAATACTTTCTTTATTTACTCTGGAAATTTGCAGTAACTTTTTTCCTTAGGAAACGTAACCAAGTGCTGTTTATGCAACCACAGTGCTGTAACTTCACATCTTTGGTGGTGTTATTCAATATTGGGTGGACTTTTGATGTAATTTTTGAATTAAAGCTTGCTTCTTTAATCGCAGATTGAGTTAAGGAAAGAGTTAGGCATGGATGAGAATCTTCCTGCCGTGTTGCTCATGGGAGGAGGGGAAGGGATGGGTCCTATTGAGGCTACTGCAAAGGCACTAAGCAAAGCGTTGTTCGATGAAAATCACGGAGAGCCAAGAGGCCAAGTTCTTGTGATTTGCGGCCGCAACAAAAAACTAGCTGGCAGGTTGCTTTCACTTGATTGGAAGGTTCCTGTCCAGGTATTGAACTGTCTAAAATCCTCATTTCCGCTTTGATCACTGTTTTGAATACTGCTGTGCTTGTTGTCAAGTTTGCATAATTTTGGATTTTCACATTGTTTTTGCACCTGAACAAAATTTGTTATTTTCGGAAGAGTATTATTGTATCTTAACCAAAGATACATTTCCAGAATAGGCTTAAATATAAAACCATTGAAGACATGAAATTCTTGATTGACGGAATCTACATTATCTTCTCAACTTCTGGGTGAGTTTGACCCACCTTTGACTCTTCTTGCTTTTGACCCCTCATGAGTCATTTAGTGACATTTGGTGGGACATGGAAACCTCAACTCATGCATTAGTTTACTGAAATCACCCATAGGCCATCCTATCATACTTCCTTCTGATAAAAAAGGCGAGCAACCCTTAAATTAAAAAAGGCCCCAAAAGGGGCTTCTCTTTATAGCCATTGAGTAGGTAACCTCGACAGGCCATCTTAATAACTGTTTAGGAATTGGTTTTGACTACCTCATTCTTTCTATGTTATCACTTAATTGTTGACGAGCAAGAAAATGGATGCGCTAGCCGCTAATGTCTTTACACCTTCACTCTAATACTCTAATAAGGGCATATTAGAGTCAAGGCTGTCAAAGTCAGCTAAATGTTATATTTTTTTTTTTTTTCTTTTTTTGGTGCAGACCAATAAGTTTATGATTGACTAGTTTCTAGGATAAATGAATGCTATAATTATTAGCTGAATGATCTATATAAAAAACACCCATTCCTGAATTCATGGACATTCACACAGGAAATTTCTCTAATGTTGTAGGTGAAGGGGTTTGTCACAAAAATGGAGGAATGCATGGGAGCTTGTGATTGCATTATAACAAAGGTAATTTCTAAATGGCTATTATGAATGGATTTTCATGGTGGACGTGCCTATCAATCAACGAGTTTACTTCTACAGGCGGGCCCTGGGACGATTGCCGAAGCCATGATAAGAGGTCTTCCTATAATTCTAAATGACTACATTGCTGGACAGGTTATTTTCTTATTGAATTCTTCAAAGTTCTGTAGATTGGCTGGGTCCATAACTTCATTGCTTAATTTTCCTTATTTATCAATGTAAAAGTTTCTATTGTTCTAGCAGCTTATCTGATAATTAAGGATTCAGATAGCTCGGCTGCTCTTGGTTTTGGAATCCAAATTTCTTTCGTGTAGAGTCCAAGTTGACACAAGCATTACTTAGAACATTAGAACATAAGAACACAGCAATAACCCTATAGAACAATGGATCCTGTTCAAGTAAGATCGTTTGTGGTTATCATACCGTAAAAGAAATACTCCATGTAGCTCATTTTTACATATCGAAACCATCAAACCTACAGGAAACACGCAAATTAGTAATATACAAGTGGAAACTAATGAATTATGATTTGGTAGCGTCATTCACATGCATCATAGATGTTACTTTTCCCATCACAGTCACATTCGTAGCTCAAACTACTTTTTTCCTTTCAGGAAGTGGGGAATGTGCCATATGTCGTCGAAAACGGATGCGGGAAGTTTTCGAAATCTCCAAAAGAGATAGCCAGTATTGTATCGAAATGGTTCGGGCCGAAAGCAGACGAGCTGATGGCCATGTCTCAGAATGCCTTGAGGCTTGCCAGACCTGATGCTGTATTCAAGATTGTTCATGATCTCCATGAACTTGTTAAACAAAGAAGTTTTGTACCACAATATTCCTCTTCCTCCTGCTGATGCAACCCTGAAGTTTTTGGTAGGAGCCTTCTTCTAGCACTGTACTATCAGGAATTCTACTGCCTCCTGAATGAATCCAATCCATATTTAAGTGTTCATTTTGCTGCTTTTTCTTAATTTTATGAGGGGAATATGTAGATCGAGTGAGGTTCACAGTTCAAACCAATTTTTCAGATTTAATATTGAAATTGAAGTTTATGTCAGTCTATTCCTTCCAATAAATGCCTTGTGCAGATGTAATAACTTTCTTTCTGTCTGTTTACTGTGTTTCTTTTCAATGTCTTAGATTACTTTAACTAATTAAAAATACCTTTAAATTTTATTGGTATGAAAAGAAACAGATGCATAAAGTTTCCTTAGTTTGATTCTGAAGAATAATAGAAGAAGTAGTGTTAGTGTATTCTTCAATGCTAAAGAAAAAGATACGATGAAGATTCTGCGTTAAGGATGACGGGAGGCAGCGAAGGTTTTTCGAGAATTTGATATGGATTGAGGGGTATTTTCGTCAAAAGAAGTATATTTTACTTTTTTTTTTTTTCGTCACTGATGGAGTGACTATTCGTATCTTTGGACTTTAGAGATTATTAATACTTTAAACAATTGAACATGTTCGAAAGTTTTAATTTTTATGATTTTATCAAAATGAATATTGAATGGGGCATGTGCCAATTGCCCAATTGCCCTCAAGAAGGGGACCTTTCCAAAATTGCCTTTTTTCTAAGATTACGATTGAAGATAGAAGTGGCTGAATCGATCCTCCATCTCGAGCTACCGTCTCTCGTTCTGATCAATCCCACCTAAAGGTTATGGAGCTTTCACCTCAGCAGCTGATCGCCTACAATGGCACCGACCCGTCGAAGCCCATCTATGTGGCTGTGAAGGGCCGCGTCTTCGACGTCACGACCGGGAGTTCTTTCTACGGCCCCGGCGGCGCTTACGCCATGTTCGCCGGCAAGGACGCGAGCAGAGCTCTGGCCAAGATGACCAAGAACGAGGAGGACATTATCTCTTCGCTCGATGGCCTCTCTGAGAAAGAGATCGGAGTTCTGAACGACTGGGAGAAGAAATTCGAAGCTAAGTACCCTATTGTTGGCCGTGTTGTTTCTTAAAAGATGTAAGATTATGTGGGCAAGTTTATGTGTTTCGCTATGTGTCAATTTCCGAGCAAGATGAGGCGTCGTGTTGCTCAGAAGTCTTTAATGAATTACTGTTTGAAAAAAAAAATGCTCTATCTGTGGAGATGGGATTGTTAAAATGACTGTACATTTGTTGTGTTTCGTCAAATTAGTGTCTTTCTATGGCGGATTGGTACCAATCTGAATTTCTGAACGAAACAAGAACTTGTTTACTTATATAAGCTTTGTTCATCATCGTATGGTTTTTTATGGGTTGAGGCACTGATTCTAGAATAAACTCAGTATGCTGGTGATGGAAAGGACTTCTGTGTATATTGTTCTTATTCTTGATTGTTTTTCTGGTTATTCGTCTAGTTTTCTCTTGTTTTAGAAGTTAAAACTATGTTTCTCTGCGTTTACCTGGAATTTTAGTTTTGGTAAAGATATATGATTGATTCTAATAAACTAAAGTTACCGTTTCTTCAAAGTTTAAGTGTAGCTTTCAAATTCATGGATTGCATACTTTTTGTTTCTTTTGATGGGAAACAAGAATTCAATAGTCTTGGAAGAATTACAAAAGTAGAAGGGAAGATAAGATATTCAACTCAACCGTGTCTAGGATGATCACAAGACAGAGGAAGAAAACTTGGAAAAAGCGTCCAAAAGGAGGCAGTAAAGCAAATGGGACCCAAGTTTTCTTAAGAAACTATCTTCTTCGCAACTAACCTTCCTCTCCCTCGCCAAGTCAAATCTCTGTGAGGATAACAGAAGTCCAAAGAAGGAATTAACAAAATTTTGGTCTTGACTTTGAAGGGGTGCCACATAACATTTTGAGAATGAAGTCTTTAAGACTCTTTGGGAGAACCATCTGGTAATTGAACAGTCCAAGAGCTTCTTCCAACATGGAAAGGGGCACCAAATGAATAAATAATTGACATCCTCCAAAGTACATCTATACTATACCTTCTCTACATCACCCCAGAGACAAGTAGATTTGAAGATTCCTGTCATAGAGTTTATTATTGATTAAGGTTTTTAGGATTGTTCTGTAGGGAGATGAAGAATTCGATCTTCCCACAGGGAACAATTTTACTTTACTTGTGGGTCATGGTGGAGGATTGGTGATGCACAGGTTCAAAATGAAGGTTCAAAGTTTCCAAAAGCCATTTTGTGATATCATTTAGAGGGCACCATGACGAGCCAATTTTTTTTTTCAAAATACAAGACCAATCCTCAGTCTCAAAATCAAAATGGAAGATAAATAAGTGCTTCAAAGTTTCCTCGAAACATAGATAATGAACTTTGAGAGAGATGGTCGAACGAGGATCCCTTATTCTCACTCTGTCTTGGGTATTAAAACTTCTATAGGTAAGAGACCAAAGAGAAAACTTCACCTTTTTTAGCTCTTTCCTTCCCAAACCAGCTTAATCATTGAGGTTCCATTATTCAGCTTGAGGTGGGTGGATTTGCAAGAAAAGAAACCTGAAAGTGAAACTTCCAGATTTCAAGCTCTCACCCTATTAATTCTATCGTCAGGCGTGCTCAACTTTCCACCTCTATCAAACAAGTTTCTTTCTGCCCTAAATGCCACCCTTGATCTTCAGAGTTCCGGCAATCCTAAATCAATTTTGGCAGCCGTAAATGATATCTCGAGGTAGAAAAAATGGTTAGTGATGCTAGCAAGAACTAACTGAGTTGTGAATCTACAACCTTTAGAGATTGAAATATTCTCCAATTTTGCCAATAAGCCATTACTCTGTCAACACTAGGTTCCTGAAAAATGTTTGTGTTAGGGTTACCATTTGACACCCAAGTAGAGGAGGGGTACAATACATGAATGAACCAACACTACACTCGAATGAGAGGGATCTTGAGATCATATAAGCATAGTTAAGAAAGCTTAAAAGAATCGATAATAACTACTTATACCAACAAGGTGCATCTTCCATTTTCGATAGCTCAATGAAAAGAATTCCAAAGTGAAGTAGACTTGACTTAGAGCAATCTTAGGTTGGGTTATCTGAGAATTTTCCTAGAAACATGTGTGTGAGGAGAAAGCATTTTATTTTGGAACGACCCGTGTTAATCGTAAGAATAGTCTTCACTCTTTCAAGCAACCCTAGTCAAGTAGGTAAGGCATCCAGGTCACAGGAGATGCTGGGCCCACTAGGTATCGAATCCAGATTCCAAATTCTGATTTGAATTCTGGGCTTGGGGCATTACATACCACCGAGTGGAATGCCAAGAGAAGAAATAGGCCGGGAATTGCTTTGTTCAATGATGTTGCCACCTTAAGTAACTGGATAAAGTTAAGAACAAGTTTACTGTGAATGTACTTCTTATCTCGAATCTGCACTTCTGCAGTCTGATCTTGATCTTAATTTAAATCTTCTTATGTCCTATCCTTATGGTTATGATGGGTACTCACCTTCCCACTGTAGAATGCACTTAAAAGAGAAAACTGTATGTTGATAAACAAATATAATTTTTAGAATCAGAAACCTAAAGTGAGATCATTATAGAATGGAACGTTGTAAAGAGTGGTCTTTTCCATTTGAAGTAGATTGTTCCAAGGTTTTAATCTGCCATTTATAAGAACAGAACAAGCTTTTGGATCTCTCTAACTCCAATCAGTTGTCATTGTTGTTTTGTGGGTGGTCACAAAAATGAAAGGGCTTTCAAAGTGTGTTGTCTTTTATAGCCATAAAATTCTATTTTCACGATGTATTATATCATTGTTTGGAGTCCATGTTCATTAAAAATATATTTGATTCTTTTATTTATTTATTTATTATGAAAGATAGATTTCATTGATGGATGAAATTACAAAGGATGTCACGATGTAAGATTACAAAAGAACCGTCCAATTTGCTACAAGGTGCCAAGTGGTGAAGACTATAATTTGTGAAAGAGGTAAAGACATTTAAACCAAGTCAGAGCTAATATCATAACTCTATAAATTAAAAATATATATATATTGAACCGTAAGATTCGATTGTTTCTTTCTGTCCAAAGACTCCAAAGAAAAGTTCAAGAGGAGTTGTTTCTAAAGAATCTCAATTTCCTTTTTAAAGGGTGACAAATCAATAATATATTGGAATATATTGAACCTTTATTTTTGGTTCCTTTTGCAGGGGTTGTGCCTTTTGATTTTGCTATTTTTACAAAATTAAAAAGTAGTTACTACCTTTGGGAATTTATTTATTTTATTTTGTTCTTTTTGCTACTTTTGCAATGCCTCCTAAAAACATTTTTAAATGGTCCAAATCATAAATATCCTTATCTTTGTATTAGTGATTAGTTAAAGGGAATATCATATGTAAAACAAATTGTAACGACAACTTCAATGCTTGAAATTGTTGCAAATCTTTTTTAATTTGTTTTTTTAGAATGAAATCTTTTTTTTTAATTTGTAAGCATATTGGAAATAAAAATATAATGAAAGTAATAAATCTAATTTTGTCCAGACTCATAAACACCCTTCCTTATCTTTTTGCCATAAAAATTGTAACGTTCTATGTTGAAAATTTGTTGCCAATATTTTTTATTTGTAGGCATATTGGAAATATAAATAAATAAAGCTATCCAATTTCATTAACACGAGTTGTAGTGAATCTTCATACTTATTTTATTTTAGTCTCCATACATTCGCATGTTATATTTTAATTCATAAATTTTTTATCAAAAGATTATTTTGATCTTTGATATGATAATTTTTCAATAATAATTTATATTTGATCTATTTTGAAACTCAATGTCGTACCTAAAATATGATTTCAACCGCGGGTCTACATAGACATTTAATCACTAGGCAGATGTTCTTACTATATCAGGACTTCTTTATTTAAAGGTAAAAAAATGGTATTCTTTGAATGATTTTTTAATTAATAATAGCAACAACCAATATATTCTTTCAAGTTTCAACTAAAATTTAAGAACCGAAAGCATAACATATATTTTTTTTTAGTTCAACAGAGTCAGGAGTGAGTCAACATAAATTTAACTCAACGGTTGAGACATTTAACTCATTCCCTCAAAGTCGGAGGTTCAATATCTCATCCCCACAATTCTTTTTATGCTTCATAATTTTACACGACCTCATTTTCTGCCGAGATCCTAAATTAAAAATTCGCTCCATATATAAAAGGTTTTTATTTATGTGTTTCCTAAGCAAAGTAATATTTAAAAAACAATCAAAGATCGAAAGAGAATAGCTAATGAGAGTTTAGATACTAGTATTACGGAATTTATTAAACAATGAGTTTTGGTGGGCGGAAAGAACATTCATTAGGAACACGTGGCATATATTTAGCGATTAATAAAGATCTTTCAAATGACGGCAGCTCATATTGGCCGTTGGATTTGCTTCGGACAGAGAGCCAAGCAACCTTTAAACACTGTATTTGGACACACACACACAAACATAATAATAAAATAAATAAATAAATCCAAAATCCAAGCTCCGCGCCACGAGAACCCTGTCCCCACTTCCACGGAACCCACTAGGATCACGCCACGTGTCTCGTCTGCACAATCCCTTGATATTTTGAGGATTACTTTGTGTGTTAATATTCAATCTCGTTTGAAAGGATGTAGGGTGTACCCTCTAATTTCAGGCCCTAAAAAGGCCATTGATGCTTCAATTGACTTGAAAAGTTTTGTTTTTTACGTTCTTTGACAGCTTCCTTGTGAATCTTGTCTTGTATGTAATACCCTCCTAAAATTATTATAGTAGTAAAAAAACTAGATCTGAAAATGGGGTTTTTGAGTTTTCCCCCTCTCTTTCAAGTAGTGGTTGGTCAAACCAACTCTAGGATGGAGATGGCTTCGGCTTCCTCAATTTGAACACTTTTTTTTCTTCTCTCATCAATTCTGAAGTTGTATATTCTATATTGTTTGTTCTCTCACCCAGATCGGATCCTTAAGTTGAATCGAGTATGCTAATTGTCAATTGAAGCAACTCTTGGGTTTTTTGAGCTTTTGAGTTTTAATCAATGGTGGGTAGTTTCGGGATGAACCCAGTTGAGACATTTCAGTTTTGGTAGAGGGTTTCTTCGTCTTTGTGATTTTAAGTTCAGGAGACAGTTTTTGGGAACTGGATACGAAATCCCCTTCTTGTCTCAGAAGTTTTTCTCTAGTTTGATTTGACCAGTTCGGGAAACTTTGTTTTTGTTGAACTGGTTTATTATACATTTTTCTTGTTGACCTGTAAAGTAGACTGATGGTGGAGGAAGAGAAGCTTAAAGCCTCTGCTGAAGCTTTGGAAGAAGAAGATGAGCCCCAGAAAGAGTCTGGTGGCTGTATTGGCACGGCACTATATTGGTTCGAAATTCTCGTCAGGGAAATGCATTGGAGTTTTGTGTTAGGGATAGTGATTGTTTATGGAATAAGTCAGGGATTAGGTGGAGCGCTTAACCGTGTTGCGACCGAGTACTACATGAAGGATGTTCAGAAAGTGCAGCCATCTGAAGCACAGGTTTATTCAGGAATCACCTCAATTCCATGGATGGTTAAGCCTATCTGGGGTCTTCTCACTGATTTAGTCCCCATTCTTGGGTACCAAAGGCGGCCTTACTTTGTTTTAGCAGGTAAAATCGTTCGCTGCGTCCTGTCGACGCCGAATTTGTCTGGTTCAATAGTGTGCTGAATATGAAGCTCAAAGTAAACAAATTTGGATATGTTTTTTTAGAGTGTTTTGGAATTTTCCAACTTTTGGATCTTTGAGGCTCTTAACAGTGTGAACTTTTCATGATTGAGTAAGTTTCTATGTTATCCTACCTAGATCTTCACTTTGGTTAAGAAAGTTCATATTAGATCTCTTCAATCAATTGCCAAAGTAAATAGCCTGTAGAGGTTCTATTATTGAGATTATTTTCTTTTGAATGCTTTGGATAGGTTGCTTATTCTTACAAATTTTCAGTGCTATTAGGAGTAAAAATTTCCAGTGTTCTATTTTTAGACTGCTTTGGATGAGCTTGAGATGAATGCATGAGTTTCATCTATTTTAGTAATAACCAATTTTGAAAAGATTCTTATATTATGTTGGACTTGAGTTATATTTCAGGATTTTCATAACCAAGTTATTTTCTTGGGTAAGGCATCCCTTTTGGAATGTCCTGTAACTAGAGCCATTAGTTACATCTAAAGGTGCACACATATGTTCAATGACGAACCCCCATATCGTTTATAAGTCGATCTGATGGCGAAATGTCTGTTAACTTCCCTTCATGTTTCTTCTCTATTCCAGGTCTTCTTGGTGTGATCTCCTTGCTTTCATTAGCATTACACGAGAAGCTACATCTTCTACTCGCAATTTTGTTGTTAACGGCAGGAAGCGCCGGGGTAGCCGTAGCCGATGTCACCATAGATGCGTGTGTAGCACAGAACAGTAGCATTCATCCTACTCTTGCAGCTGATCTGCAGAGCTTGTGCGCCTTGAGTTCTTCAGTCGGAGCATTACTTGGATTCTCTATTAGCGGTATCCTTGTTCACCTAATAGGCTCCAAGGTTCTCTACTATTTAAACTCTTTGCTGCTTCATACTTGTAATTTCTATTCTTCATTCTTTCATATGCTTGGGAGATTTACTTCCTTTTCCTCTCTCTGATAGGGAGTTTACGGTCTGTTAGCAATACCCGCCGGGCTTGTTTTATTGGTTGGAATTCTACTCAATGAACCCCATCTGCCAGATTTCAACTACAGACAGGTATTCTACAGCATCTGTTATGTGTAATGCCTTCCTTTGGACTGATTCTTACTTCATCTTTGGGAATCAGGTAAACGAAAAGTTTGTTGGCGCTGGGAAGGCTATGTGGGCGACGTTAAAGTGCCCGAATGTCTGGAGGCCATGCCTCTATATGTATCTATCTCTTGCATTGTGCCTTGACATTAATGAGGGACTGTTTTATTGGTACACAGACTCAAAAGATGGTCCAAATTTCTCTCAGGTAGATTTCCATCATTGAACTTCTTCTTCGTATACCGAGACGTAATGTAGTATCTAGGATATCGACATCTCGGGCCCGAACCTTGGTTATATAAATCAACTTTTGAATAGACATTAGGTCTGAGAAAGGTTGGCCAAAATCATTCTAACTTTTAGGAGGCTGAAGTTAAGCTAGTATCTGTTTTACTTCATCTTTAAACTCCTTTCTTGCAGGAAAATGTTGGTTTCATTTTCTCAATTGGTTCAGTTGGGTCTCTTTTAGGAGCTTTACTGTATCAATATGTTCTCAAGGATCACCAATTCCGAGACTTGCTATTCTGGACACAATTGATATTCAGTTTATCTGGGATGCTCGATTTCTTGCTGGTTTTACGTTTAAACTTGAAATTTGGAGTGCCAGATTATTTCTTCATTGTGATAGATGAGAGTGTACATCAGCTTATCAATAGGCTAAAATGGATGCCTCTTCTAGTCCTCAGCTCCAAGCTCTGCCCCAGAGGCATTGAGGGGACATTCTTTGCTCTGCTTATGTCGATCGACAATGTCGGACTTCTCTCAGCGTCATGGGGAGGCGGTTTCCTGCTCCATATCCTTAAAGTTACTCGAACCAAGTTCGATAACCTATGGCTAGCCATTTTGATAAGGAACATCTTGAGACTTACTCCACTTTGTATGCTGTTTTTGGTACCGAGAGGCGATCCGAATTCTTCAATTCTTCTAACCGAGCTGCCCAGCGAAGAAGTCGATCACGAGACTTGTGAAGCCGATAACATTGAACTGGTTTCCCTTGTCAATGGCATGAACATAGACAACCAGAAAGAAGTTCTTTGATACTGATTCAAAAATGGGGTGAAGCAAGAGGCTTGAGAGTAAGAATATCCCTTTGCATGTTCCACTTCTGTTGCATCAAATTTTTGTTTAACTGTTCAATTATATGATGGGGAATCTGTGTTAATGCTTAAAAAGATAAGAATGAACTCAAATTCTTGGATTCTTTTCTACATTACAATGAAATATCAGCTCATTCTTCAGTTTGGTTCAGTCAGAAACATCTATTTCATTGGGGGTGGAAATGTGATGGTGTCATTTAATTTCAAAAGGGTTTGATTAGATATAGTTGAAAATGTCAAAGATTGTTGGAATAAAGTTGAGTCAAATTTCAAATTACCCTTTTTTTTTAGTTTGAAAACCTCAAATTTGAGCACTCAATATTTTATTTTCTTCTTTGAATTGAAGAGATACCTTGTCATTTGAATTTTCTTGTATGATATGTCATTATTAGTACTTTCCCATTATTATTGACGTTTTTTTCCCGCTTTTATTTATTTATTTTGAAATCTATATTTTGATGTCCTTCAACTTTAAATTTTTGTTCATTTTAGTACATATACTTTTAAAACGGTCTCTATACTTTTAAAGAGTGATAATTTTGGTTTTTATTTTATTTATTTCGATCATAATTTTAATATGATATTTCACTTACTAAATTTTTTGAAATGTACTCGTAAATTTATATTCAAAGGTTTTTATTGTATATAAAATTTTAAAAATAGGGACTAAATTGGTCATCTTTTGAAGTATAAGGACTAAAATTGACATTTTGAAGATACAATCACCAAACGAATAAAAGATGAAAGTACAAGAGCCAAAATGAACGTTATAAAAGTATGAAGGTCAAAATAAACTAAATCAAATATAGAGGAACCAAAATAATATTTAAACCTTTCTAAACAAATCATATTTGAACCTAGGTTAAAAGTCACATACTTTAGTTTGTAACGATTTAATCTATACTTTCAAATCGGTAATAATTTAGTTCCTAGATTTTAGTATGTAACAATTTAATTCCTATAGTTTAAAATTTGTATTCTGTCAAAAAAAAATGGTAACAATTTAATCCCTATGCTAAGAGAATTGATCAAAATTAAGTATATGTTAAAATAATTTAAGCACTAGTTGAGTTAATAACTATTTAATATTTACTTTGATTATTTAAAAATTAAATTAAATTACACTTTTCAACTTTTTAAATTTACCTCAAAAAATATTCTAAAATGTCAACTATGTTCCTTAAACTCAAACCATTACTTCCATGATTCCAGTTTTCCGATTTTCCTTCGCCTGTATTTCAAAGGGAGGGATTTGCCTCGATACGACAATTAAGATATTTATGAGAACGAAATTGAAGATGCAATCTACTGAAACTCTTACTTCCATTATATCAATTTCCGACCTATTAATTCATTAATCACTCATTTATCTATCATAATTGTCCTCCAAAGTCGAGGACATAATTTATCGGCTCTATTTAACCTGTTGGTAGAAAAATTCATGCACTAATTTATAGAATTAGTTTGAAAAAAACTTATTTCTATTATTGTACTGAACCAGTTACATTAAAGTTCTGACTTCATTGACCCAAATAAAAATAAATAGTCCTTAATATCCTCTAAATATTCTTGCAAGTTTTTTTTGTTTTTGTTTCTTCCTTCAATAAGATTCCTGTATCAAATAAATATAATCTCAAAATTCCTAAATATCATATTCCCACGTGTATTCTAACCTCTACACAATTATAACACAGATAAAAGAATATCGCTTCATAAACTAAAATAAGAGTGTTCATTTGATTATTTTTGTAATAGTTTCAAGCTTCCTAAATTAGAGTACTACTCAAATCACACTAAATTCTTTTGTAATAATAGTCGATTGAAAGGCCTTTCTTGTTTAGTTTTTGTTCTCTATTTTGTTGAGCAAAAAAAAAAAAAAAAAAAAAAAGAATCAGCGTTACTCTTGCACCAAACGGCTCTTCAAGAGGGGTATAGGGAATGGTAAAGAAAATGTTTTGATACAGACTTAATATTTAGTACAAACATGAACATGGGAATTTTCACTTTAATCAGAATTAAGTGGGCTGTTGCTGCCTATCAATAACATCTTACCGTAAACAGGATGAGCAAACTCCCCTCTCTCCACAACATTCAATACCCTGTTTTTCTTAAAGCATAGGAACTGGTAACAAAAATTACGACACGCTGTTTTTTTTCCATGACATCTGCGAAAACTCTGACATCCCTGATTGCAAGAGACCGCCTTCAGTTTTTCCAACCGTTGTACACGACCTGCAGGTTGCAGTTGCTCGGCAGAATCTTGTAGAAAGGATTCTTATTTTGCCCGTCTTCTCCTATCCCTATCTCTTTCTTTACCTCTGTCTCGGTCGTGATCATCCCTCTCTCTGCTTCCACTCTTTTCACGGTCCCTGTCTCGTGATCTTTCTCGCTCCCTATCCGCATCAGTTTCCCTGTCCCTGTCCCGGTTTGATGACTTCTGTACTGGGCTATCACTATGGCTCCGGCTACGCTGCAGCTTCCTTGATGAGTCGTGACTATCATCTGGTCTTTCTCTCCTCTCTGAACAAGTACACAGAGAAAGGGGATTTTTTTAATTATATAAGCCAACAAGAAAATCTAACAATAGTAATTAAACAGCCACAGGAACGACTCAGAATCAGTAAAAACATTACAAGATGCTTTAAACATTTAACTTAGTTTATTCAAGGCATAGAACATTGTGGTGAAATAAGGTCTTGTCTTAACGAGTGACCATAGAAAAACTGTAGCAAAAGCTCAAAAGGTAGACAAAACAAACGCTTTACAAGCATAAATTAACGAAACAAGAAATGATGCAGTATTTTAGGAAAGAAAGTGAATATAATTGCAGGCACAAAAATAACAGATCCCAACCTATCTCAGCAACTCTTGGCCCAAACTGACTCCAAATTGACAGAGTAAAACTAGTACAGTTTTCCCCACTCTATACTGATAAGAACAACTGAAGTGGCTAAACATGTAAAGAAGTTTATCAGATCTGACTCAACAATAAAAAACAAAAAGATCAAATAATACGTGAGTAAAACAATTCTGGAATTTTCTGTCCAAAAAGTTAATGAAATAACACTTACTCTTCCTTGATGCAGTCTCGTTGGAATCTGACAGTCCATATTCAGATTCTAGTTGTTTCCGATAAATCAAAACTCTCCTCTCTATTTCCTCAAAACTTTTGATCCCCCGTTCTTCCAAAGACTCACGGTATTCGATCAAAGCCACCTCTACACGTCTTAACTTTTGTCTGTAATTATAAATATATTTGAACATCAAGCAAAATACAATAAGATTCTCAAAGATTCATTATAGGCGTGCATAAAATTAACAAAGCTTTTATGTGATGACACACGCTTATCTAATTCAAATATACTTCTGTCAGGAATGCATGGATCAATAAGCAGCAGGGACAACAGACCAACAATTTTAAATCTTGAAAAAAATATTAAACAGTTGAGATACAAATTATCAGTTTCAGAAGTGGACCCTGTACCTCTGCTCTTCATTCATCATTCCACTATCAGATTGCATAAGAACACCTGCCTCCGTAGTAATCTCCAATTCGTCAGCTTTACTATAACCATCACCAGCGTTTTCACTTCCTGAAGATGAATAGCTTAGCCCAAGACCCCTAGTACCTCCTTTTTGCTCATTGTCACTTTCATCATCCTCCCGAGCCCATTTAGAGGCAGGCAAAACAGGATCATTTTTCCCCGACTTTGTGAAGCCTTTTAGTTCAGGCTGTGGAATGGAAAGAGTTTGAGCCATAGGCACAGGACCCATCCTTTGGAGATTTGTGTCATCATCCCCAAAACGATTCCATCCTGAAAATCCCGCTGGATCTCTTTCAACTTTAGCCTCTCTCGAGCTACTTGAATATCTACCAGAATGAGAATTACTATATTTTAAGTCTTCATCAAGTTCATATCCACTCTGTTTTTCTGCCTCTTCAAGACTTAGCAAACGTGCAACCATCATTTCTCTACCACCAACAAGAGACAATCCATTATGCCTGCACCTTCTTTCCAGTTCTCCAAAGGGAAGATTCATCAACTCCTTCATAGCTCCTCCCTTGCCCATCGCCAATTCAGCATCCTGATTGATTTTGCTCCCATCTCCTAGATCATCAGAATTGGCCTTCCGTTCAATCTCTGGGGCATCGCCACATAATGAATGAAAAGGAGTCACACCAGAGTTTCCCAAGCGAAGGAATGTGGCTCGCAATCCATTCACATAGGCATCCGAGAACAGAAACCAATCGGACCATACTTGCAATAATTTCAGTACTCGTTCCTGCATAATCAGAGATAGGTATAACCAAATTAGCACTTACAGGACAAATCACACACAGGTGAGATAATAAATCATTCTACCTTGAGGGCCTCTGCCGTGATTCTCCCTGTTATGCTACGATACAGATCATTGAAGCTCTCCATGATGTCAGGTAGCGTTGCTTCAAATTTTGTGCGGTATGCAGATGCATTCTTTACAGGAGCACTACTGTTATGAAGGATATCAGACACAAGCATCAACCTTGCAACTTTGGTCGGAATAGGAGTTTCTCTAAGCGTTAGAGATTCTGTTAGAACTTCAACTATCTGCAATTTAAAAAATTAAATTGATTAAAGAAGTGAACACAAATACAAATGTTCAACTATCTGAATCAAGCTTAACACAGAAATATAGATGCTCTGCAGATCATGAAGAAGTTGTCTCAAAGGGGATTGGCAATGCATACCTGCATAAAATAGAATAAAATATAATATGTATTTTAAAAAAAAAAAACAGCAAGAAGAATAATGAAAAAAATAAAATCGAGAACAATCATAATCACCCATCTTGTTAAAAAAAAGAATGAAGTAATCCCCCTTGGTAAACAAATGAACTAATGGGCTAAAACAAAGAAATGAATCAAGAAGCAAAAGGAAAAGCCTACACACAAAACACTTTAATATCCTTAATGTAGTATTATTAGCTTAAAAAATGGATAAATAACTTAGACCATCCATATCGGTAGACCTCTTCATATGCAGCTCAATAAATTGCCTTAATATCATAATTACCTCTCCAGCTGCATCAGCATTATCTAATGCAAACCCCATTGCTTCCTTTATCTGACTTCTTTCTAATGTCAATGCCCGAAGCATATC